AGGCATTTCAGGCAAGTATTGTGCTTTTTGTGATTTGAGTATTCCACTAGTCATCATCAAATTAAGATAATTGTGCAACCGTAATAATGACAATCATCTGAGTTCAAATTGACCTTTAAATTCCCTACTGTGCCCATCAAAAATCTACTTTCGCGATCAACACCTCCGTCAAAAATCGTTGTGATATTTCAAGATTTTGTCAAAATGTTGCCATTCAATACATGTTTTTTTATGCACAATTATAAAAATACGTTTTGGGTGAGGTGAGTTTCTATTGGTTAAAAAATTCATGAAATAATGGTAGGATTATTTTGGCAAAATAATGAGAAAAAACTCAGTCAAACAGGAAATGTTCCCTTGAGCTCGGGGACCTCTTTCCAGTCTAACACTGAGTTCTCACTGGGCAGAGCTCACTGTTAGTAAGCAGGGAAATGTTTGCACACGCTCAGAAAACTCTTCCCTGGATGAAATGAAGGTTACAAAATGTTGTGTAGCTGTCGTTTGTGTCTCATTTGAACATTTGACGGCTGGTGGGTATTTCAGTAACCTCAGGTTGGGTTTCTTTCAACATGAAAGCCTTATTTTCCTGCAACCTTACTGAGAGAATGATGATGGGAAGAGCAAAGTAAGAGAAAAAGTTACGGGGGCCAGAGAGGAGGAGAGGTGAAGAGCGATGAAAAAGCAAAACACGTAATTGCCTCCGAGGAGAGACGAGTTTTCCTCGTGTTATTTGACTCTGCTCATATGAAAAGTTGCTAGGAGCCGCTGAGGGATGCTCTAAATTATGGCAAGAATAAGTTTGGTAAGAAAGAAAAAAAGCTTGGTGATGTTGCGACAAGTCCTTTGTGTAAATTCCTATCTAACTGGAAGAAGGGGGCCGAGACCCTGACAGATTCAGGGCACAGTGTGTGTGTGTTTGTAAGTGTGTGTTTCCTTTTAGTTTTCCTGTGAAAAAGGACATGAAAAAAAAGAAGCTTCCTCATCTAGTGGCGTGTCATTCTTTCAAGGGCAAGTGACCTATTTGGCTGGTGCTGGAGCCTTATTTAAAACACACACACACACACACACACACACACACACACACACACACACACTCTGGAGAAGATGGAATTTTCTCTCACACGCACAAAGAATCCTTCAGTCTGAAGGTAACCTTTCCTTTCCTCCCGTTATCTTCGTCTGCTACTCCTCTCCGTTTCTCACCGCCTTTCTCTGACCACACAAAGGGACACCTCGCTAAAAGGTGAGCCTGCAATGAGATGACATTTAAATCAGACAAGAGAGGACGTTTAATAGATCTCCAGAAGGGGGAGGGGGAATAAACACTTTTCCCTCTCTCGACAGAAAACCCTCGTAATCAAAACAAAACTGTAACTGTCGGCGCTACAAAGTAATAACCAGTGACAAATTAAATTGCATACTTTTCATGCAACTTGTGTCATCAAGTGTTTTGTGAGGCGTCTCAAACTGCCGGGGAATCGTTTAGGAGGCAGCGGACGCTCTGCCAGTCAGCAGAAAAGGTGACGGGTCATGAATTCTGTTTTCCACCGGGAAAAAGAGGATGAAAAACACTTCTGAGGAAATGAATGATAGAAGAGCAGCGGTGGTCTTAAAGCCTGACGCGGTCAAAACACAAAGTGTGTGTGTGTGTGTGTGTGTGTGTGTGTGTGTGTGTGTGTGTGTGTGTGTGTGTGTGTGTGTGTGTGTGTGTGTGTGTGTGTGCCTATAAAAAAAGGTCTGCATTTAGGTTTCTGGAAACGAACATCAACAAATTCAAATGCAATTGAGTTAGTGTGTGTTTGTAGGTGTGTGTGTGTGTGTGTGTTTGTGTACAAATGCCTATTTTTTGTACCTGGAGCCCAATAATATATTTTCAGACTATTCGTTTTGTCCAACCAATGGCGAAAACTTAAAGACATTAAATAACATATCACATAAACAGACAATACAACTTAGTAATTGAAAGATTGGAGCAAAACATATAGTCATCTTAGCTTGATAAACAACTTGAACTGATTTCAAAATTCTTGTTGATTCATGTTTTTACACAACTAATCAAATAATACATTACTTATCTCAGCACTAGCCCTGTCATGTTTAAAGGTATATTTGTAGCTTGGAGGCTCACATTTCTCTGACCTAATGATCCTGAAGCAGCTGGAGTAACACCCCTCCATCGTGCTACAAATGAAACCACACCAGCATGTGGAACAATCTACTTGCATTTACAAACCTAATTCGCCTTTAATTATATCTTAGCACAACATAATTACACTAAAGAATTAGTCAAGACAGAAACAGAGAAACGCTGAAATGCTGAGAGTCTGAGAGTTTGCTTCAGGCTGTTAAATGTACCAGATGGCTTGGGTTTTACTGACTGTTCACCGAGTGCCAGACAAGGAAATTGCACAAAGCTCATTTAAATTGCAAATACGCCAGTGTGAAGTCGACACTTGCTGACACTCGTCATATTGTTTCATTCTGTAAACCAGTGTGAGGAGGACGAAAATAAATGCTAGTTATTTTTTACTAATTTTCACATTTCTGTTCAACACATATGTGCAAAATACAAATGTATAACAAATTATACAAGTTCAGATATTTTCCTCATTAGGTTGAGTCTAAAATGATTTTTTTTTTTTAATATGGTATTTTAATATGGTAGCAACAACTCCATTTCTTCTAGGGGTAAAGAAACGGTGGACAATGTCTCCCTCTTGTGTTTTAAGAAAGGAATAGCAGTTAAAGACCACATTGTTCACATGTTTTGCATTCAATAGGGATGATACGACCCGTAAAAAGGGCCTGCATACACGTGAACACACACCCAGTTAACACACACACACACCCAGTTCACACACACACACACACACACACACACACACACACACACACACACACACACCCAGTTCATACACACACACACACGTATTTAATTCACGGATTAAAAACATTTGGAGGATCTCCAGACTTCAGCCTCGAGGCCAAACTTTGAGCACACAGCAGCTTACCGAGGGATTTGGGGCAAACTGTATCAAGTTGATGTAATTACATTAACTCCGTCACTGTGTCCGCGAGGCAACAAACAGCTAATGTTTCTCTAAACGGCAATTTCCTGAGACAAGTTCATTCCACTGTTTGCATGCTGCCAAGTCCTTCGCGCTGTGCAACTAGAAATCAATTAGAGTTGGACGCCAGTACACATATGAGACTATAAATCATCATTTTGGACCGGAAATCCTTTCTCAAGAGGAAACAAGTCATTTTGTAAAATATCCCCGAGTAGCGAGCGGTCATTTAAAGGGGCTATTCTGCTTTTTGGGGGTTCCCTCTCCTGTAGTGTGTTATATAAGTTTGTATGTATGTAAATGGTCTGCAAATGCTCACATCCCAGAGTTCCCTCCAGAGGGAGTTTCTCCCTGGACCAATAGACCACACTTGACCTTATGTCTAATGGATATTAACCAAAACTTAAATGTGTAATAAAAAAACCACATTTGAAACATTGAAGTATCAACTGGTACTTAATTATTAATCCATACCTTTTAATTGTATCCTTTCCCATTATGTATCTTGTTTTTATTGGATTTATATAATCTTTTTAATCTAGCTATTGAAAAAATAATTATTATAAATTAACTCCACCTTGTTTTAGTTTCTAGAGATCAGCTGGTTGGACTCCAATTAACCAGAAAATAAGATTCAGGGGTGAACATTTTCTGTGTTTTCATCTCCAATAACATTTCACATGATAGGGAATAGTAAAGTGTGGTCCCTTGCACCACGTGTAAAGAAGTTAAACTCATATTGTAGTCATATTATTAGAGGACAGGAGGCTTTGAAGGCATATCTTTTGACTTACCTTAAAGTTTCAGCTCTGCTCTCACTGTTGTTCACTTCTTCCAGATGTGATCACAGCGCTGACATCAGACCTGAATGCATTAGAAAATACTGAAGCATGCACTAAAGAATCACTTTAAAAAGTCTTTTTTATAGCCTTAATAATTATTGTATTCAGTGTTGACAAGGTGAGATGTTAACTCGATCTAAATGTGACTCAACTTTTTCAGGAATAAGCTCAAATCTGGATTCAACATCTTGACACCAGCTGAGAGCTATGACAGGAAGGGCCATAGGTAAAGTCAATAAGTAAACTGGGGAGGGGGCTGATATTATAGAAATAATTAAAATTCAGTTTCTAACAAGAACAAATACAAGAAACCCAAAAATGTACAAGAAACAATTGAGACATTTACAAGAAGAAAAACGGGATAATTGTGGTTAAAATACAAATAAAGCGATGTAAATAAGTGTCTTTAATTGTGAATTTTCAAACACAAATTTGTGACTTTATTCTTAAGAGAATTGCAGAATTTTGCAAATGTATAATTGTATAATAACAAAGAAAATGGTAGTTTTATCTTGTGAATTTGAGATTTGTTTCTCGTCTATTTACTGCTTTAATCTCAGAAACTATCCAGGTGTGTTTCCCTAAGGAATCACCAGCTGCTTAAAGGTGGGGTAGGTAAGTTTGAGAAACCGGCTCGAGATACACTTTTTGTTATATTCCATGGAATGCTCTTAACATCCCGATAGCAATGAATATCTGAAGTGCTTTGACAACAAATACATAAAAAATATCATCTGTGGAAGCTGTAGTACTGTAAAAAGCACGACCAATCATCTGAGCCGGCCCGGCTAAAATAACTGGATGGCCTACCTGCCTGTCAGCCTTCCATCTGTGCACAAACTTATCTCGTGCCCTCATTGGTCATGTGCGCGTTCGTGTGTGTTGGAGGAGGGGCTCTGTGAGGAAGTGGCAGATTTTCTCCGGTTGTGTATTTTCAAATTCTAGCGATCTCGAGCCGGTTTCTCCAAACTTACCTACCCCACCTTTAATTGATATATATTTCTTATTTTTTTTACAAATGTGCCTGATGAACCATCCGAAAATGCTGCTATCCAAAACCTGAAATCACTGAGTCAAGACATACCAGAGCCATTGTTTACAATTTTATTACTGTTATTGTTTTTCTGTCAGATAAAGCAGATAGAGAGGAGCGTAATAATCAGATCCAGCGAGACGACTGGACCGTCTGAGGTGAGTACATGTTAGAGATACAGGGCTACCCCCCCCCCCCCCCCCCCCCGACATATATGCTACATAACACTGTCCGTCTCATAAACAGTCACATTCATGACAAAGAGATATTCTGAGGTAAGCTAGAGTTGGCTAGTGTTGTACTGAGCAAATAAACATATGTATGTACTGTTTATCTATAGTCGTATCAGGAGCTCATCTCTACCTTGGCATAGCTTTGGCATTAGGAGGTAACACGGTAAAGAACAAGCGTCGTCGTCCATTTCATGAACATTTAGGGAGTAACCCCCGAGGCCTTTGGCCCGTAAATACAGGGGACTACGCAAGTCAGCTATTCAAGTTTGACAAATAACTATATAGTGCTAATGTGAAGGAGAGCACCCATAGACGTGTATATCCTCCGGCTTGTTTATGTACATCTCTAGGCCCAGGTTCAGTCTGCTTCCCTCTTTCCATTATAGTGAGATCCACTTTGAAGTGCAGCTTCGCAGTCATACAAACTTACAGGAGCTTAAGCTTTAGCTTATTCCAGTCAAACAGAAGGTGCTTTTAGCATGTAGCATTATGTTTTTGATCACATTTGTTTTAGCGTTCTTTCCAACGTAAAAATAAAAAACTATCTGAGTAGACTTATGAGTGTAGTCTAGCTTCACTGGCTGAGTGGAGGATTATAATACAAAAGAAAAGAGCGAACAGCAGCATCCAGTATAACAAAGAAGATAAAAGAGAGACTACGATGTATTGTCCTGTTCTGCTAATATAAAAAGGTATAAATAACACATCCTGTTTGGTTAAGATGAAGAAATTAAAGCGTGTTTTTAGACAATTCTTCACTGTCTTGATCCACCGTCTCTTTTGGGATTTACCTGAGATTCCAGTTTTCCCTCAGGGCTTTTCTGACTTGATAGCAACAGCACGTTATCGACTGATTGGATCAAATCGACTGATTGAGGCGGGGGTCAAAGACGTTCAAGCAAGCAGAGGGCGTTCAAATCACCATAAACTAGAAGTAAACTAACTCTCTCCCCACAGCAACACACACCTGACCTGCAGGCTCAGCACTCTCACCACAGTCCAAACAACCACTCTGTGAAAAGGCAAAAAGAAGGCATGTAGCGAGAGAAAGAAAAGCTTAAAATGGGCGAGGTATCCTTTACATAATTCTCCCTCTAAGGAATTTTAATACCATCTTGGAATGCACTATATATGGATATATATATACTGTATATTGCCATTAATATAAGCAGGATTACTGTTGATAAATACAGTGGCCTCCTTACCATCAGGAGCCCCCTTCTCCCTTTCATTTATTGGGTGCCAAAGCCCCCCAAAGGCCCTACATGTGAGGAGGAGGAGACACTTATAGTTTTCCTATTTCATCCGATTAAAATGTGACGATCAGCTTCTGGTCACTCTTCGTCCACAGTCTCCCTTTTTGAATCCTCCTCTTTCAGATCCAGAACCTGAGCGGGGGGGCTCGGCAGGGCGGTGACCTCTGCAGGAGCCAATGAGGAGGGGTCCTGTTGGTCAACCATCCTGTGGGAGGGGGCCTCTTCCTGTGGGGGAAAAGTATGGAAGTGTTAGAAAGCCCACAAGTTGATAAGTGTGTTTGATGATGTTATGAGTATGTGTTTGTTAGCAGTGCTGGGTGCTAGTGGTAGCTTAGTTGATAACTTCTCTGTATTTCACTTGCTTGTTTAATTCAATTGTATTGTTTCTATAATTGTTTTCTTACAGATAATTGTAATTGTCACAGACCACACACACACACGGCTAACAGCGTGAACAAAGTATATTAAAGATCTGAACCGGGAAAGTCTGTTCTCCGTGTTCTTTCACACACCGTGCCATCTCTAGAACCCAGTTTCCTGCAGACAGACTAGGGATGCCAGAAACTGACCATGATCAAATTCGAAAATCGGACAGCCCTGGCGGATATTAATCGATTATTCGCCGGCCGGCCGACCCCCCCCCCCCCCTCCCCCCCGCGGGAGAGGGAAATTTTTTTTTCGCAGAGCTTGCATTTTACTTAATTTGCACTTCCAGTAGTTCCACGGGGAACTCTTCTTTGTTCATCTTTAGTTGTGTTGTTCTCACTGTTCTGTATATCGCCAATAAATCAATCGCACGTGTGACGGAGAAGGGGGGGGGGGTGCAGCAGTCTGCACTCTGCGCAGTCAAACAAACTGGTGGTGTGACCAATGGCCATTTACAATTATTAATACTATTACTATTATTAGCATTAGTCTATATTTAGGTTGAAACTAAGCCAGGAAAAAAAAGAAAAACATAAATAATAATAAAAAGATATATAATTTACACTTTGTATTCACTTGTTCAGAAACACAAGGGGCGCTGCTATTTCTGTGCTCAATGCAGTAAACTGGCTCCTATGATCAGCTCCGTCTTTCCTGGCTTACACGCAAACATGTGCAACAACACTGGAAACCTGTGGCTTCTACTACAGTTCACTTTCATATTATACATTACCCTTTCAACCAGGGCTTCAAAATGAATCCAAATGTTTTCAAAATCGCAATATGGAAAAGTGAAATATCAAAATTGAAGTGTAAGGGCAGAATATGTGAAAATATCAGAATGAAGTGTTGTTGTGTCAAAGTCAAGGTCCTAGGCTACAGACTAAATTAAAGAAAGTGTTTGTTACATATGTTCTTGAAAAAATGTAGTTAAATAAAATATAAAAATCACACCATAATCATTTTAATATATTTTTCCATTCGATTTTGAACGTCTCAAATTATTATTCCCTTATTGCAATACACATTTTTTTTTATGTATAACAAAAAGTTATTTGTTCCAAACCGGGAAGTCCTACTTTGGAAGTGCATTTGTTTTCCAGACAGTCACCTCAACAAGATAAACTACATTATCCCAGCCGACGTGTCCTCCTGCTACTCGTCTGTTTTTTGTGTCTCCTCACGTCACACAGAGGTGAGTTACCTGCTCTGAGAAGCGATGGTTCACCTGATCGCTGAACTCCTGCATCTCTCCCTCCTCACCGTTGGAGTGGCAGCTGGGACTTGGCACCTCAATTCCATGGCTTTCCAAAATGGCAGCTTCTGATAGTTTGAGAGGGGAAAGCAGAGGAAGATGGATTCCTCCTGTTATTCTATGTGTAATCACTGTCCACCCAAAACCTTTTTTTTTTTTTTTTACATGCATGTAAGGTGAAAATGAAAACAAGTGTATCAGATCCTTACCGATGTTCGCTCTTCTCTTCATCTCCTTCCGACGGTTTGCAAACCAGTTGTACACTTTCAGCGCAGTCACACGCTCAAACTCAGAAATCTTGCAGCCTGGGGGGTGCACGCAGAATAACATTTCAGACGTAGCCATAAACCAGCTGTCAGAGGAACAGCATGTGTGTCGTCAGTACCTGGTTTCTGGATGACAGAGTTGCAGGCGTTGGCTATCTCTTCTCTCTTCGACTCATCCGGGTACTGGTTCTCCATGAAGAAACTGGAGGAGATCCACAGTAATGGAAACAGTGATATGAGATCTCATCACAGCATCTATTTTAAGATAAGGTGCGCCCTTAACTTACACCTCACCTTTAGTATTGATTTTAGTAAGGAGAATATGTATACAGTGAAAGCTTCAGGAGAAGGGGGGATGATAAATGGAAGCATTAAGTGGATGAGTTTTCAGTTCACATGCTTAAGTCTCTTCTTAGACCTTGAAATTGATTCTCTGGTAAATAACTGAAATGTATATATCCAGGTAAGATCATTTTTTCTGTCCAATATTTCCTCCTGCACGTCATAAAAATGATCTCACATTACAAAACATGCAGGGATCAATTCCTCCCAGCTTCCTCTCCCTCTCACCCTCTGTGATGCCCTATCCTGTCCACTCTGTCTGACACACACACACACACACACACACACACACACACACACACACACACACACACACACACACACACACACACACACACACAACACACACACACATCACACACACACACACACACACACACACACACACACACACACACACACACACACACACACACACACACACACACACACACACACACACACACACACACACACACACACACACACCACACACACACACACACACACACACACACACACACACACCACCACACACACCACACACACACACACACACACCACACACACACACACACACACACACACACACACACACACACACACACACACACACACACACACACACACACACACACACACACACACACACACACACACACACACACACCTCTACTGTATCGTCCTTGTGTCTGAACTAGCTCATGAGGATCAGCACTGCAGTAGAGTTGCGTAATCGGGGGGGTCTGCTGGTGAGTGTGCTGTTATTACTGAGAGTGCTCAGACTGCAGCCGAGGAAGAGGAGGAAGAGGAGGAATCATACTCCCTTTGGTTCACTGACAACACTGTCTGGGACTAATATGTCTCAGAGAGGAAGAGATATAATATACCTAAGAAACATATCTTATAATCTGACTTGCTTTGGATTGTGAGCAGGAGGCAGAGTCCTGCATCGAGTCAGGTACCCGACGGGTGACCCGCAAAAAAAGTGATTCGCGGGGTGGTATTTTTTCAAAGGCTTTTTTCCGGGTTCGGTTCTGGGTAAAACAAAGATGATACGGGTCGGGTCGAGACCGCGCATAATCATAACCTCTGCAGCGCATCAATCTGCTGCTGAGCGCGCCTCATTTGAAAATGGCTGAGGTGAAGGCGGAGCTCGGAGAATACAGCATTGTCAATAACTCTTCCTCAAGAGCGAAATCCAACGTCTGGAAAGCTTTTGGTTTCATCCTAGATGGAGAAAATAACCAACATCCCACGCTTTTTGAGCCAAATACGCAACTGCGTGTGTTAATAATTGCATGTTTTCACTGCTCATAGGATATGCGGGTTAGGGTCAGTTTGTGGATCTTGTGCCGACGGGTCGGGTCGCGGAACTAATTGGCAATATGTGCGGGTGGCGGGGCGGGTTCGGTATTGCACGTCGCGGGTGGGGGGCGGGAGCGGGTCTTGAAAATCAGACCCGTGCAGGACTCTGGCAGGAGGCTACCACAGTAAGACACTAAAGGACATTTTAAATAACAGGGCTGTCAATCAATTCAAATATTTAACTGCATTTAACTTTCACATCTTTTATCCGTTTTAAATATACCTTAAAGGGAAATGTTTCCAGTTTTTAAATCACCTTTTAAACAAATATGTTTGCTTTTTTTTTAAAGTTATTTTTATTATTATAGTAACAATCCAAAACAAAGAAAAGGTGGTATTTCTATATATACATATATATTTATATTTTTTACTTGGATTTTAAGCATCACTTTACGTTGTTTCACATTTTTATTATTTAAATTTCTACTTGTATATAATTTAATTATATTTTTTCATTTTCAGTTTATATATTTGTATTTAATTTATTATTTAAAACTCTTCATTCAGTCAGTCATTTATTCATGTGTTGGTTGTTTAAACATTTATTTGTTTACTCAATAGTAGTCAATAGTTCAGTTTAGCTAAATGTCTTTCCATGACTAAGATCTTCATTATTGATGAAGCTCAAAAGAGTCATTTTATGGTAACAACTAGTCAGAGAGTATCATTCAGTCTAATATAACGGTGAAGCCGCCCCTCTGTGCTGCTCACCTCTCCATGATGGACTGGCACTCCTTCCTCCAGGTGAACCTGCTTCCTCTGCGCAGCCTCAGCGGCCCCCCCGCCATGCCTCTGTCTCCTGACATCATCCCCGTCCTCCAATCAGGCTCCTCCTTCACCAGGGACCGCATCGATAAGGTGGCCCCTGAACCAGAGAGCAGAGTTTATCTGTTGAGTTCATCTAAACAAAGACTTTGGGATCCAGCTGATACAACAGGTGTTTGTCTGGTACCTTAAAGGTCCCCTATTATTCTGTTTTTCATCAATATATTCCAGCTCTCAGATATATACAGAACCTGTCTCTGATTGGCTGAAACACCAAACAGATCATTGCAGCATTTCCCATAATCCCCTCTGTTTCAGCCCCGTTTCAAAAGTGCTGATTCTGTCTGTTACTTTAGACGAAAATAAGGAGCCCCTCCCCACGCCCCTCTGAGAGACATTTGGTTAAAAAGAACACAATAGCCGCTTTCACACCAAGTACTTTGCCGCACTCAGAGCCCCGGCACTTAGTACCCCATGGCACTAAGTACCAATCGCGTTCACACCGGAATAAGTTCCCTGAGGGAAGATTACGCAAATGAGCCGCTGACGTCACTTCTTCTTCTTCTGCTTTGGGTTTACTGGCAGGCCGCAAACAACTTCACGGCGTATACTGCCACCCGGAGTCCCCGGCCGGAAGTCCCCGGAGTTGGGGAAGGCTTCAGTAGAAGCTGCTGGGACTCCCAGCAGCTTCTACTGAAGCCTTCAGAGTAAATCCCCAGAAAGCCGACACCTCCTCATCTCCACCGCTCCCATGTTTTCTTTTGTGTTGCCATAAGTTAGTCTCTCTGCGTTGGTGCGCGGGGCGAATGCTAATGCTAATAATGCTAATGCCACAAATACAATGGCGGCTTCACAAGACTTTTCAGAGTTTTACGGGGCGTGGTTTGCAATTTGCCCAGCCAATCAGATGTTGGTACTTTTTTGGTACCACCTCTCTAGCAGGCACTGAAAATGGGGGTAAAAGTTCCCGGCACTCAGTACTCTTTTTGGTCTGAACGCAACATAAGGGGTACTCACGGAACTAAACGGGAAAAGTACGGGGAAAAGTACTCCGGTGTGAACGCGCCTATTGGTGCTCTAGGAGGAGATTCAGGTGATAAGAGAGTGGGGGGGGGGGGGGGGGGGGGGGGGGGGGTTACCTTGGTTGGTGATTGGCTAATGGTTACAAAAGCCAACCCAGGTTTTTATAGAAATGGATCAGGACAAAAGAGAGAGAATCTTTTTTCCTGAAACTTTCAGAATCTCTTTCCACAGATGGGGACACATGTTGATGAAGAAGAGACATGAAGAAGAGGGGACACATGTTGATGAAGAAGAGACATGAAGAAGAGGGAACACATGTTGATGAAGAAGAGACATGAAGAAGATGGGGACACATGTTGATGTAGAAGAGACATGAAGAAGAGGGGACACATGTTGATGAAGAAGAGACATGAAGAAGAGGGGACACATGTTGATGAAGAAGAGACATGAAGAAGAGGGGACACATGTTGATGAAGAAGAGACATGAAGAAGAGGGGACACATGTTGATGTAGAAGAGACATGAAGAAGAGGGGACACATGTTGATGAAGAAGAGACATGAAGAAGAGGGGACACATGTTGATGAAGAAGAGACATGAAGAAGAGGGGACAACATGTTGATGAAGAAGAGACATGAAGAAGAGGGGACACATGTTGATGTAGAAGAGACATGAAGAAGAGGGGACACATGTTGATGAAGAAGAGACATGAAGAAGAGGGGACACATGTTGATGTAGAAGAGACATGAAGAAGAGGGGACACATGTTGATGAAGAAGAGACATGAAGAAGAGGGGACACATGTTGATGAAGAAGAGACATGAAGAAGAGGGGACACATGTTGATGAAGAAGAGACATGAAGAAGAGGGGACACATGTTGATGTAGAAGAGACATGAAGAAGAGGGGACACATGTTGATGTAGAAGAGACATGAAGAAGAGGGGACACATGTTGATGAAGAAGAGACATGAAGAAGAGGGGACACATGTTGATGAAGAAGAGACATGAAGAAGAGGGGACACATGTTGATGAAGAAGAGACATGAAGAAGAGGGGACACATGTTGATGAAGAAGAGACATGAAGAAGAGGGGGACACATGTTGATGTAGAAGAGACATGAAGAAGAGGGGACACATGTTGATGTAGAAGAGACATGAAGAAGAGGGGGACACATGTTGATGTAGAAGAGACATGAAGAAGAGGGGACACATGTTGATGAAGAAGAGACATGAAGAAGAGGGGACACATGTTGATGTAGAAGAGACATGAAGAAGAGGGGACACATGTTGATGAAGAAGAGACATGAAGAAGAGGGGACACATGTTGATGAAGAAGAGACATGAAGAAGAGGGGACACATGTTGATGAAGAAGAGACATGAAGAAGAGGGGACACATGTTGATGAAGAAGAGACATGAAGAAGAGGGGACACATGTTGATGTAGAAGAGACATGAAGAAGAGGGGACACATGTTGATGTAGAAGAGACATGAAGAAGAGGGGACACATGTTGATGAAGAAGAGACATGAAGAAGAGGGGACACATGTTGATGAAGAAGAGACATGAAGAAGAGGGGACACATGTTGATGAAGAAGAGACATGAAGAAGAGGGGACACATGTTGATGAAGAAGAGACATGAAGAAGAGGGGACACATGTTGATGTAGAAGAGACATGAAGAAGAGGGGACACATGTTGATGAAGAAGAGACATGAAGAAGAGGGGACACATGTTGATGAAGAAGAGACATGAAGAAGAGGGGACACATGTTGATGTAGAAGAGACATGAAAAAGTGTATTTTGCATAATAGGTGACCTTTAACAAAAGTATCTTGCACTTAAAGGTCATGTTCTAAGGTGGGGATGGCTGTATCACACATACATAAATAAAACAACCCTTTGCCAACAATTCTGCTAAATAAATCACCTAAGGCTCTTTTTTAGAATACATAATATGCAGTGCTCTCATTTAGCAAAGACTTCCAGATATGTTGTTGCATGTTGCATCTTGTTTTTGCTAAGTTATAACTCAACTCCTACACTGAGCTCAAACTAAGCAACATTCTGCTACGATGACAAAGTCAAGAGGATTTCACGAGTATGGAGCTTCTTCGCTTGGATCTGAATCCTCTAGTTCAGCGGTTTCAACTCAGGGCCCACTTAACAATCTAAAAATGTTTCGCGGTCCACATTCAACCATAAACAATACGGAGGCTAAATAAAGTTCTGATTGGTCAATTCAGAACATGTGACACGTTGTAAATCCAGTAGTACAGACCGTTGTCAAGGACTGTGATTACCGTTGCTAAGGAGGATCGAGAAAGAGAAAGGAAAAGAGGTTCAGATAAAAAAAATGTTTTAATAATGAAAGGTTTCCACACAAATCATAATGTTTTGCTAAGTTGGTTGGGAACCCCTGCTCTAGTTTAACTGTCATTTGAGATGTGCATCCTGAAAGCATCCTTCACGGGCGAATAAAGCTGCTACAGGGTAACATGCAGGGGGGCCTATGAGCAGGGGTCCCTTGTGGCAGGCTGGGAGAGATTTTGGAGAGAGGTTTTTTTTTTTTAGGGGGGGGGAGGGAGTTACCTGTCTGTGATTGGGCGGCGGCGGCGGCGGCAGCAGTGTACCACGGCAGCAGGTGCATCAGCAGCTCTCTCTGCCTGCTCCACACGGGGGGGGGGTTGGGGTTGAGGTTGGTGTTGGGGTTGGGGAGGCTGCCACTTGCCCCTGCTACCGTCCCATCTCTGTCCCCCCCCCTGGTCCTGGACATGGGACTCACGCTGTGCTGGCTTTCACTCCACCTCAGCCCTTCAGTCGGGACAAAACCAACGGCCACCATCAGTGACACCAGATTAGGCTAATTGGAAATGGACTTAATTGGGTTAACTGACACACTCCTGTAGACCTGCCTGACCGTGTTTTTTTCAGTCAGAATTTAACAACAAATGCCTGCTTTGAAATATGTTTTTTAATGTTTCCGCCAATTCAAAGTCAATTGGACTAAACAACACTGCTTCTCTGTCCGATCCATGATGGGCAGGTCTATGAGAAGCAAAGCATTGTGGTCCCTGAGAGATTGTTAGTATCACTGTTAAATGTTAGCCATGTAGGAATGAAAACCAGCACCAGAGTACCTCCAGCAGCTGAGAACTACAGAGGGGCTCAGGCAAAGCTTGGGGGGGTTTAGGGGAATATAAAGGGTAAAGATGAAGGAAGCCAGCGGGGGTCTGCAGAGGGTCCATCGGCTTATCATGTCAGTTAAAACCCTGCTTTACTGTCGGACACTTTTAAAACTAAGAGCATCTTTGGTGGTTACTGTTATACCTCCTGAAACCAACGTCCCATCGGCAGGTTTGAAAGGCATGTTTTTTTCCCGCCAAAATTGCACCATTAAGCAAAATCAGAATCTGTAAATACAAACGTATTGTCCCATTTTCAAATGTCCAACAGTCCTTGTAAGAATCTTGCATTTCTGTCAAGAAAAATGACTAAATCTAAGCTTAAAAACGATGTATTATCATATGGCTTAGTCTAAATTAATATTTTGCCAAAATTAAACCATGTAAGATCAAAATAACCTGTAAAAGCATTCAATGCTGTGCTCCTCAGCGCTACGTGTAAGCCATGACTTAAATAGTTCAATATATATTTAGCATCAGGGGCCCCGTTTTCTATAATATTGGAAACACTTGTCGGCTCTTGGCAAATCTATTAAATTCCATTTCTTTCCCCCAAACCTTTGTAAAAGAAATGATCAAATGAATTCACCTTGCGTTTCTTTTTTTAATGATTAATGCCAGGAAAACTGCACAAAACACACTTTAAGTTCTAGCAGTTATGGTGTCTTTAAAATCTTCGGGTTAAGTCGGTTAAACCATACCAATATTTTAAGTCATTTTCTCCCTGTATCTCAGACATAGAGAGGTCAACACCTTCCCAATCTGTTACCCTAGCCTGTGCAGACCAACCGCATTCACCCGCTTAAGTTTCATTCCAGACCAGAAGGCCTCATTGTATTGATTCACATCTCCAGTGACAGGACTCCCTTTATCATTTGTCTTTTCTCTGAAAGTATAGATTTGTCTCATCGTGTCCTTGCTTGACCTCGAGGCCCAGGGTGGGGTTAGCCAGCGTGAGGAATTAAGAGGTGTGTGTGGCTTTACCATGCAATAGGAAGAGGGTGGGAATAAAGAGATGGTGGGGGAAGAATAGCAAGCAGTGGTTCACATTCACGAAAAAAAACACTTTTTTATTCAACTTCCCTTCCTCATCGATCATCATTAACCTGACGTTCAACCTTGAGGCGCTTCCTCATAATCATTCCTCCTGTTCTGTACATCCATCACACTTGTAATGATCTATCCCCCCCACTCCTCTGCTCTGTAATAGTCCGATCCAAGCCCTTATCTGAAGTGTAGTCCAGCTGTGACCCCTCACCTGGGTTGTTCCTCTCCAGCAGGTACCAGCGGTAGAAGGCTCTGCGTTTGGAGTCGCTCATCTCCAGGCCCTGCTGCAGCAGCCACTGGGAGATGTAGCTTTGGCTGATGCCTGCGGGCACAAATAGAGGCGTGTTATCTCCCCACATTCATTTATAGACACTGATTTATTTCACGCTGCACTCACAGTCGGGTTTGTGAGATCGGCCGGGAGCCAGGCGCTGAAAAACTCCTGTTACGCTAATGAAGACGTCCCGATATCAATGGGTTTAATTGAGGACGTGATTTGCTGCAATACGTTGGTGAACATACTGCTGCAACGTAACCAGATTGATGATCACAATTATTTTGAACAACAACGTCACTTCTTATTCTACAGAAGAATCCACAGGGTGTTTGAGAATAATCAATGATGTGTTGCATGTCCAAACAACTCCATAATAACAGCAGGTAAATAGATGTTTCCTCTACATCTACTGTAGATTACTCCTGTATATTTAGTTGACTAAAATCCAATGACATTAATGGCGCGTTTCCACTGCAGCGCGGAGCACGGTTTAAGAGGGCTGTGACGTCAGCGGCCCGTCTTTGGTTGCGTTTCCACTTGGCCTAGTACCGGCCGGCGGGTCCTAATTCACAGTTTTTCTGGCCTCATAAAATCGCGGGTCTAGGGCCAGAGACAACCAGGCTGAGTCGGGCTGAGTATGCTAAACTAGAGAGAGCATCGCTGGCAAGGGGGCTACAACTACAACCAGATGGACATATTTGACCGTGATTTAATTGTAATACACGTTTCAAAATGATGCTGAAGTAACAACATACTGATACCGGTTAGTAAAAACCATGAATTAATGCTTTGACAAGTCTGCAGACAGACGGCAGGAGAAAAACCTTTTAAAATGCGTGTTTTCTGAATGGAGATTGGCTAAGCTAACGCAGTATATGCTCCGACCGTCCACACTCACAACAACGGCCTATACAGACATACACTGCGTTACTATAGATACTACCCCAGTTCCTAAACTGTAATGGAAATGCGCCATAAAGTGAGCCAGTCCTAACGAGGCCTAGCCATACCGAGCGAGGCCGAGCGAGGCCGTGTAGTGGAAACGTGCCATAAGTCAGCTAAAACTAGACTCACATTAAAAAAACTGATTACAAAATATGACTAAATGTAATTTTAGTCATAAATACGGACTGAAACAAAATCAAATGTGCAGTGAAAGTTGACAGTGATTCAGATTGGGTAGTTAAATTACACTTTCATTATCTTATTTTGTTAAATGTAGAATGAAAGATTTTTTCAAGCTAGGTAGTTAATTGAATCTTGTATTTATATGGTTACCAGTTAGCTTTGCAGCCAGTTGTGTTTTGAATTGCAAATTAGTGCGAAAACAACAACCTGTGAAGGCTTTGGCACACTTTAAACATGAGAAAAGTGCACTTTTGACTTGAACCGAGAAACAATCTTGAATCGGGACATATAGAATACATTTCCAATCAATTAAGAGGTAGTCAAAGTTTCCCACCCCTTTAAAACAGCACTATTTATGCCGAAAAGTATCCTGTAACATGTGTCCTTGTAGAGTGTATTCACTTTACTAAGTCCCCACAGTACCTGTCACCTGGCCCACGATGGCCTGAGAGATCCTGCGGTTGTTGAGGAACGTCTTGATCTCCTCCTTCACCAGGTTGCTGTCTCTCCTGAAAGAAGCCATCACAACGGTTACACACTGTGGTTCAAACGGCAGCCTTTGCTCTCACTAACCTTATTCACTGCTGCTTCTCTTTTCTCAGCCATCCCTGAACACCTGACCTGAATTAACTCCACTCAAATTCTGGAGAATCAGCGTGCGCCTCGGGGGAGTGAGGCTGTCATTATCTGATGTTATAATAGTCCATACCGTTCTCTCTAACAACACTGTGTTACCTGCTGGTCTCAGGCCAGTCAGACTGTGCTGAAACCGGTCTTTCCAAACAAGCCTTAAAAGTGTTTTATAAAAATAGAAATCATTAAAACAGTATCATTGCAATATACTATCCAAATACAATGTCCTCAGCTTTGACTATCTCATTCTGTTCTCAAAGATTTGATTGGTATTCAAGATACAATCCATTTCACACTTTTTCCCCATTGTGCACATTCATGTTGGGAAACCAGTCTTGACGACATCAATTTGACTGTAATTTGAGATGTTAGTTTGACAAATGTTCTACTATTTACATTTTATACATATAAATATATATGCCATCCACCGTCCTCCTTCTTCCTTCTGTTGTATATAAAGGTCCTTACACACCAAACTGACACCAAAGAACACGTCCTGATGGAACGTCGCCTCACGTCTCCTGCGTCTTGGCCATGTGTCGCATTGGAACACACCGCAAAGACTTCAGCCGACGGCCAAGAAGCACGTACGAACTGAGTGGCAATAACTCTCCTTACCAGCAGGCGGCGGTAGTGTGTATTCGTCATTCAAAAGAGGCAACAACCGGAAGACAGACTGCGTGATACACCGAGAGAAGAAGAACAGACTGCGTGATATAAACAAACAACAAATAGCGTGTGTTCCATGTTCACTCTACAGCGAGAAGCTCATGGGGCTTTCCCCAACCTGTGTCGAGTTGCCTTCTTAATAGTTTGTTAGGGTCCCTCACTTCTGTTTCGCTTCTCATGCACTGATTCGCTAAGCTGAACAGCCAATCAGAGTGATTTCTTTGGCCCACGCCCTTTAGCCGACAGCCTCCCGATTCAACATGTTGAATAGGCGGCGGAAGGTGTCGGCACGGCCGAAAATACACGACGGTGCGGGACACACCAATCTGAGTAGGGTGACAGGATGCTCATCGACGGCCCGACATCTATCGACATCTATCGACGGCCGAAATCGGCTTGGTGTGTAAGGGACTTATGTTGCATGACATATTCGCTTTTAAATTCGATAAGCAGGTCAGCAGCGTAGTCAAAACCTGCTTTTTTAAAATACGACTATTGGCCAAGACTAAGTCGTTTTTATCGTTTGAGGACCTGGAAAGGGTTATTAATGCCTTTGTTACCTCGAGGTTGGATTACTGCAACGCTCTGTACGTGGGTATGGACCAGGCGTCAATTAGCCTGCAGCTAGTCCAGAACGCAGCTGCACGTCTACTCACTGGCCACAAAAAGCGTGACCACATCACCCCTATTCTGGCCTCACTGCACTGGCTTCCAATTCAGTTCAGAATTGATTTTAAACTCCTTTTATTTGTTTTTAAAGCCCTAAATGGGCTGGCTCCGGCCTATATAGCTGAACTCCTCCAGCGCTACACCCCAGCCAGAGCTTTAAGGTCTGCTGACCAGCTGCTGCTGGTAGTGCCCAAGACCAGGCTCAAAACCCGAGGGCACCGAGCCTTCGCAGCAGCTGGCCCTAGGCTCTGGAACACTCTGCCCCTCCATGTGAGGTCGGCCCAGACCCTAGGGGTCTTTAAATCTACTCTTAAGACTCACTTCTTCTCTCTGGCCTTCTAGTCAGAGCGGAGCACGACTCCTGACTTTTCCCTGTGTTTTATTTATTGTCTTTTATTGTGATTATAGAAATGTGTTTTTATGTGATTGTAGTTATTACATGTACAGCACTTTGGCCCGACCAAAAATCGCTTTTAAATGTGCTTTATAAATAAACCTTGATTTGATTTGATTTGATAATGTTATACAATGTAGTCTAGTGACAGGTAATTCATGTCAAGAGCATATTGTCAGGTTAGAAAGAAGGCCTCACAAACTGAGTTTGAAGGTCAAATGAAAAGACCACCTTTAGTAGGTTCAGGTAAACTTTCTCTGAAATGAATGGGGTCCTATTAAGATAGGAAAATGGACAAAAGTAAAAACTCCCCTCTCATTACATTACATGTCACTTGTTAGACGCTTTTATCCAAAGCGACTTACATACTCAATACTGTGGCCAATCCCCACAGGAGCAATTTGAGGTGAAGTGTCTCAGGGACACAACGACATGCTGACTGCAGTGGGGTTTGAACCTGTGACCACCTGATCCGAAAACCAACACACAACCCACTGCACCACACGCCTCTCACGTGCTACAAAACTAACAAGGTCCTACGAAATAAGTTAAAGTGTTAAGTAGGAGGTCCGGACTCTTCAACTGGCCCAAGCTAAGATCTCTCCCAACTCTTCCTCACCTCATGTACTCTTCCACCTTCTCTTCCAGGTCCCACTCCTCCTCGCCCATCATGTCGTAGCTGAACGAGCGTTGCACCGCCACACTGGGGGGGTAGAGAGGTGGGGGGGAGGCCTCGTAGCTGTTACTGGGGGACAACGCTGCTCCGTCCAGCCCGGAGGTCTGCGTGGTGGCCGAGGCGAGGGACAGCGAGGAGGCGGAAGACGAGGAAGAGGAAGGGGCCGGAGCAGCTGTGGTGGTGGGGTGGTTGTTGTTGTTGTTGTTGGTGGAGGTGGTGGTGGTGGTAGTGGAGGGGGTGGGCTGGGAGTCACAGTTTGAGGGCGGGCGGTGGTCCGAGTCAAGCCTCTCCAGGGACTCCAGCGCGTGCAGGATCTGAGGCTTGGTCATGCCGGAGAGACGCAGGCGCTGCAGGAGGTCGATCTGCTCCAGGGTGTAGCGCGGCTCCACCTCGCAGCACTCCATCCGGGCCTCTGCACAGAAATGGGATCAGAGCGAATTTGACACTGGCGTTTATCAAGGAAACACAAGAGCAGTTTTGTAAGTGAATATGAACCAGATGTAGCCCTATTAATACTCCTCTGTTGCTCTCCCCGAGGTTACTAACACTTTTTCCTCCGTTAACTGTGGGTTTTCTTTGGATGTCACAATTGAGACAATTTTCATCCATTTTCCTTATTTTCTAAGAACTAACCATTTATTTGTAATTGAAAAAAATATGTAATTTTCAACTATTCGGTCGGGAGAGTTTGGAGGTTGTTCAAGTAATCTATCAACCGGTACAGGTACAATCATTCAGTGTCCCAATTGAGACAATTATCTTCTTCCATTTTAATTGTTTCCTTAGACCTAACCATCCGTTTAATAAAAAAATCAAATTGATCGCATGTTCAGATTGACAAAAAGATAATAAATACATACAAATAAATAAAATAGCAAGTAAAGACAGATGAGTAAATAGAAATATACATAAGTGGGTGACTGAAACAGATATATGTGTCTTCTTTAATTGAAAATAAATACCATTAAGTCATTTTCAACTATTCGTCTGGAGTGCTTGGAGGTTGTTCAGGTAATCCATCAACCACGGCCATTTCTTATAGAAAAGGTCTACAGAGTGTATTTTAACTTCTAAAGTTTGAGAAAGAATACCAGGTTCTTTGGAAGTGTTTCCTTGTCTGATGTGATGCTCTAAGAACAGAGGGTGCAAACTGTAAAGTCTCCTGAGACAAATGTCAAATGTGTGATACTTTGATTGATCGATAACGTCTGCATGCTTAGGTTTATCTCTCACCAGATAAACAGCAGCAGGACTTCACAAAGTGTTACCAGGACATATACGGCTATATTTATCTCCACCTTTGATAGATATTAAATTTAGATAATGTGCTGCAAACTTCCTCAGAACCTGGAGACAAACTTGTAAATGATGAAAGGATTATTAATAGATGAAAACCCAAATAACAACAGACACTCAAAAGCTGAATTCAAACGCCACACGTCCTTTGTGGTTTATTTATCTCCTAAATGCAAATCTGATTAAATTACTTTAGTAATGCTAACACACCAAATAAATAAATAAGAGTGGTGTGTAAAACTGATACTCAGACTGCATTCTCCTCTGAAGAACCCTTGGGTCATTTGAAAAAGTTGGCACACTTTCAAACACTTGGCTGGCACAGACACTTGGGGCTAACCTTGCTACATTTGTCCAGGGGGGGAATTAAAGTAAGATCACCCCCGCATACATAACCTAACATCAGGTCCACTCAGCCTAGTCATATCCATCCATTCATATATCTATCCACCTTTTCATGGCCTTTACCTGCCTGTCAGGCACATGGTTGTAGTATAAATCATTGCCTTTGCATTCCCCGTTAATTGTGCAGGCTCCAGTGTGAAAAATCACATTAAACTCAATTAAAAAATTAAGCAATTTGTCATGACCTTGCATATATTTATGGGACAACAAATACTGTTCACCTGTCTGATGAACCCACTCTTGAACTAGGTACTATTCAATAAGTTTGCACTTGATCAAAAATACAGTGCAAGCAGACTACAGGCAACTACCTTATGAAAACGTTAATTATGTTAAATGTGAAACATGCAAAATTGACCAGGAGAGTCTAAGATTGTTTAGGATGTGTCAATTGCAATACTGTTAAATACTGTATGCACTTACCCATCTGATGATCCCACTCTTTAACTAGGTTTAGATATTATTAATAATGAGTTTGCACACAAAAACAGCTCAAACAGGCAGAGCCAACTACTTTAATAAAAAGTTGATCATGTTAAATGTCATTCATGCCTAATCGAATTGAATTGAATATTGAATATTTTTAAGATGTGAACATTCCAATACTGTAAATACTGTATGTACTTTTTTTGAAAGGCAGCAGGACAAAGTTGCCTCACCAGATGCAATGTGTGTTTACAGGACAGAATGCAATCAGATCCACAGCATGTCTGGTTATTTTATGGGTGCTTTTAGTGCAAAACAAAGCTAGCTTTCACTCTTAAAGTTAGTGCAACCTCGTCCGGTCACTGAGGTTATCTTACCTGGTGGAGGGGGGGACACAGACACGCGCCCCGGGAGCGGCTCGGCGCGAGGGGTCGCCGCGGGGACACACCACTGTCGCATGGCTGTCAGCTGGACCTCTACAGAGACAGGAGACTTGCTGCAGTGTGTTGCGGTTAAACGGCCCCTATTAGCATGCTGGCAAACCCACAACAGCAGATGACTCGCTGGCAGAAAGCTAAATTGGCTAAGCTAACGCCGTCAACTCTGGCTGGTTCCCCTGAGCTCCAGCCTCCCATCGATAGCTGCTCGCTGCCTTGAGTAAAGTTAGCAAGTGTGAGTGAAGTAAAGAGCGGAGGTAGTGCAATTAAACCTTCACAATAAAATCATTTGTGGGTTCCTTACAAAATTCCGTTTTAAAAAGTGTTATGGTTGGTCTCTGATAATAATGACATCTCTTTGACTCAGATCATATTATCATAAGAGCAGATTGAACAGCTCTGACTACTAAAACCTTACTTAAAATCATACATAAGCAATACATTAGTGTTTATAACTGCACTGCATCTTTGAATTCACACATATTTTTGATTTTATAATAGTTGTATGATACGAGTTTTAATAGACATTATTTTTACTGTACATTTTACCAAAGTAAATGCTGTGTATGTGAAAACCTACCTTATACAAAATCAAAATTATGATTCTGATTTAGTAGTGTTTGGCTGGGAAATAAACCTTTCTACACTTCACCCTTATGGCATATTGTTACATGTAGCCTACCTGACTTAACATTGACTAAATCCATGACCTTTGTACCCCTTTAAATATGTGAATGTGTATATTTAATGTTTTTTTACATTTTATTTCATACCCTAATGCAGTGTTTAGCAAATGCTATTTTTAAGTTTGGAGACAGTTCTTTCAGCACAATGTAAATGTAAAACAGTGTTTCTGCTGCTCTTTCTCTAGCTGTCTTAAAAGTCGCTGTTGAGACTGTGGTTTTATTTTGAAGGACCGATAAACCATTACTAATGAGTCTACCCAACTTGACACTTCATTCTTGTTTTGGCTAACAACTTATCTCAAACTTGCACTTTTCTAGTAACATCTGCCATTATTCAAAACATGTCAAACCTGCACAGATAAACATGGCACCAAGCAAAACATTTTGTGTGTAAAGTCTAGACAGGGCTGGGACATAGCATGTTGCTAACGAGTTAGCTCGGTCGATAGCAACGTTAGCTATTAGCTAGCATCGGATTGTCCCACCGCGGAGCTCCCTTACCTCCCGTTGCTGTGGAGAGCAGCAGCCGGCTGGACGGAGAGGGAAGATGGGGGAAACTGTGGAGAAAGTGTCGGTCCACCCAAGCCCAATATAGAAATTAACTCCTTGGCTTGGTCCTGTGGTGATTTATCAAACAGAGGGTGGACGATGCAGGGACATATTGTCTTTGCAGTGGGAAAATTGTGTATGCAAATGTGGGGAGTCTGTCTCAATTTATGACCCCTCACCCGATACCACTGTCAAGCTAGCAGAGATATAAATATGATTTCCGGTCATACTGTACTGGAAACAGCATAGCTAAATGTAACACAATGTGCCTAAACGAAAGCACATTTCAGTAACATTGTTTGTACAAAAAACAATGCTCACACCACATATCCAGAGGTGGAAGAAGTATTTAGATGCTTTAATTCAGTAAAAGTACCAATACATTATTGTCAAACAATTCATCACAAGTATAGAAGTCCTGCATTCAAAATCTTATTTAAGTGAAAGTACAAAAGTTTTATCAGCAACATGTACTTAAGGTATACAAAGTAAAGATAATTATTGTGTAGTTCTGATTGACTTTTTGTAAAATATATATAAATAATGGGGCTCTTTTGTGACTGAAATTAATCCAATAGTTTAATTTTTAGAGATGCATTTTGTTAAAAGTAGCTAAAGCTGTTAAATAAATGTAGTGGAGTAAAATTGAATTATTTCCCTTTTAAATGTAGAGGAGTAGAAGTATGAAGTAGCATAACATGGAAATACTCAAGTAAAGTACAATTATCTTTAACTGTACTAGTAGGCTACTGGCTGATTCGGGTGTAGCCTACTATGGCTATTCTCTTTCAAAATTATGAATTCATTGTGTTTACGATGGGCCAGGCCAGAAAACACATCTACAACCCTCGAATTGAATATTCATTGCACCATCTGAAAACAATATAGTTCAAACATTTATAGAGGTAGCTGTTTGTGACTGTTGTGTAAGGATTACTTTGATTTAAATAATCTGAAACGAAAACAAATCCTGAAGATGAGAGGTGGTTCTAGGTTCAGGTTGTTCTACTATGGACAGACGACAGAGTTGGGCTAAGCCACTTCCCATCATATGTATTGTATCTTTTCATGTAACTTAAAACAAGAAATCAAATATCTATCTCTTTAAATGTCTTAAATTGAACTTGCAGAAACTTCTCATGCCCTGAACAGCATTGCTCTCTCCCTGCCTCTCTCTCCTGCCTAATAATAAAGGTGTTTGCTCTCACCAGTTCCACTAGTGACTCCAGCGGAGGAATGAGTCTGTGTTTGCTTTGCTCGATATTCCTCCCTCCCCTTAGACCTGTGCCAAAAAGGCAGAAGTAATAAGTGCTTTATTAGACTGCCTGACGTGCCTGACGTGCTCAGTTCAGCTTGTGTCCAAGCCATCTGTATTTGAGCATTCGGCAGTGTGTCTGCCACATTTTTTGGGGGTTGCCCATCATCAATGTGGTCCAACTTGACAGCTGAAACAACACCATGAACTGGGCCTTCCTCGAGGGCCTCCTGAGCGGGGTCAACAAATACTCCACTGCGTTTGGTCGCATCTGGCTCGCCATCGTTTTCATCTTCAGGCTCATGGTCTTTCTGGTGGCGTGTGAGAAGGTCTGGGGTGACGAGCAGAAGGACTTTGATTGCAACACCCGGCAGCCCGGTTGTCACAATGTCTGCTACGACCACTTCTACCCCATCGGCTACACCCGGCTCTGGGCTCTCCAGCTGATCTTTGTCACCTGTCCATCCCTTCTAGTTACGCTCCATGTGTCCTACCGGGAAGAACGAGAACGCAAACACCGCCTGAAGCACGGAGAAGGATGTGCCCCTCTGTACAATTTCACGGGAAAGAAGCGAGGGGGTTTGTGGTGGACCTACTTTCTCAGCCTGATGTTTAAGATTTCAGTCGATAGTGTGTTTGTGTTTCTGCTCTACTACATCTACGAGGCCACGTTTTTCCCACCGTTGGTGAAATGCAACATCGACCCCTGCCCCAATTTGGTGGACTGTTACATTGCAAGGTAAGCGTTCCTCGGTGGTCCTAAATAGTTAAAGATAATTTAATTCCCATGGTTTGACTTGATTTAATAACTACTAATCTTACATTTTCTGTCTCTTTTCCAACCGTGTGTTCCTCAGGCCCACAGAGAAGAAGATATTCACCATCTTCATGGTGGTGACCAGCTTTGTGTGCATCTTCCTCACTTTTTGCGAGGTCTTATACCTGTGTGGGAAGAGGTTCAGGGAGTGCTGTCGAGGAGGACCCAGTTCCCAGAGAGCAAACTCCTTCAGGATGGTGAGGACTCCTCTAACAGTGAAGGAGAACTCAATTTTCAAAGAGCCGATAACGGAGAAGGCCAAGTTGGTAGATAATGACAACAGAGAAGCTAGCAACAAGGGTTCAGCCCCAGCGTACAGCGTAGTAGTCACATAAAAGACATGTGTTTGGGAGAAAATAACTATCTAATGTAGCTTTTATACTGTTAGCCTTGTTTATCTGCAGAATATGTGTGGCTTTAAATGATATGTTGTCTTTATTTCCTTTTTATATATCAAAATAATGTGTGTTGGTGCTTTTAAAAGGCTTGTCAACCTAAATAACAAATATGCAATAAAGGTGATTTATTGTACTTTGTCTATTTATATGATGATGTGTTATAAAAGATTATTTTGTTATCTGTATGACCACAAAATAAAATCTCTCCACTTATTATGAGCTGCTGTGTCTGTACTTTGACAAAAACTGGAAAAAATGTCTTCATGGTCGCACATTATGTCATGAACTTGAACAAGAAATAAAGATAACATTTTCGAAAATAAACTACTCTGTCAAATTTGCTTTTTTTTACCTATTCCCCTTTAATCCCTATACAAAACATTGGAAATGTTAGTTATGAACACATTGTATGAACCTACACGGTGCAAGGCAAATAGAAATTGGTGCAGAATTAAGGTAGTCATAGAAAACAATAGATAACTAGATAATGACTAAATGATCTACAACTGGTTACTGATGGGAGTAACAGTATTGACAAAAGTTGATAACATCTCCATTCCTACAAGTCACAGATTGATGACAAATACACACATCCTGTATTTCTTCAGAACAGCAGATCGAGAGATGGTTTGTAAAGGGCAGTATCGTAAAACGTTGCTATTAATTTATTGTGATTTGTAGTAATGTGTTTTTATTACATGTACAGCACTTTGGCTCGACCAAAAATCGCTTTTAAATGTGCTATATAAATAAAACCTGATTTGATTTGATTTGATAATGCAGTGACCGCTGCACATTCTTACCTGAGAAAATGAATCAGCAAACACATGTTTAATCTGATTCTAAGATAGCAGCACTCCATATCTCAGGTGTGTTTCAGTGCAAAAGGTTTTGGAGTGCCTGTACAAACACATTTTAGGTGGGGGCCCTGTTTAATTCTGATTAATCAACAAGAACAAATGGGCATATCTCCAGATACCAGATGGCTAATGGAGCTGATACCATGTCAACTGTGGAGAAATGTGGTGCTAGACTAACACACCTCAATGTGGTTCTGTGTACTAATTATTTACACTAAGTCACACTGCATCACATTTCTTTGTTCAGTCAAGCTACTGATGTGTCTTTGGATGTTTTCCTGGACAGTTTTCTGTAATCACCTATATCATTAAGGCACTCCATCACACAACTGCCAACATAAAAGTAAGTTCTTGGAGCAATTGGGGGTCAATATAATGTGACGCGGACAGGAAGTTTAGATTTAAATTTGGGATGGATGCCAAAGGTGGCCACGCCTTCAGATTATGGCCAAGATTTGATTCTTGAGGTAGGTCAATGTCAGAGACCCACAGCAGGAGAGAGGTTGCCTGCTGAACACATTCCCAAAGTCTACTTCGACAATATGGACTGAGTGGAAGACCTGCTTTCTTACGGTAAGCTTAGAGTTTTTTGTCAAACGGATTTGCATTTTTTGGCTTGGTTATATTTAGTTTGAAGACTCCTTGCAAAGCTGAGAACATTTCATATAAAGTCAGAACTGGACTACTGTGTTCGGAGTAAGGGTGAATAACATTTAAGAAACTATTTAAGTATTTAACACGTTTTTAATCAATTAATAAAGGTCATTTCTACAAAGTGTTTAACAAAGTTCAAATCAAACTTAAATGCTGTGAGATTAAAGGGAGGGAATTTAGGTTTCATAGCTGTTAACTAAATGGTTTGATAGGAAAAGAGAACGACGTTCGAAATTATCCAGTGAGATATTTGGAACAGAATACAGAATATTAAGCTAAATAGAGGATTTTTATATATTTTTTTGTATTTCTCTTGATATTTTTGCCACACTCTGTCTTTTTCTCTTTTTTGTGTTCTAGCTTTTCTGATTTGAAAACCTACCTCCTCCAACGTTTAGGGACAGACTTCTCTTCCAAGCAAAGCTGAACTCATGGATTGGAAATTTCTCGAGGGTCTTCTTAGTGGAGTCAACAAGTACTCCACTGTCTTCGGGCGGATCTGGCTGTCAGTGGTCTTCGTCTTCCGGGTGATGGTCTACGTTGTAGCTGCTGAGCGGGTCTGGAGCGACGACCAGGCACACTTTGACTGCAACACCCTCCAGCCTGGGTGCAAGAACATCTGCTACGATTACTTCTTCCCCATCTCCCACATTCGCCTCTGGGCTCTGCAGCTGATCTTCGTCACCTGCCCTTCCTTCATGGTCGCGCTTCACGTGTCCTACCGGGAAGAGAGGGAACGTAAATACCAAGCAAAGCACGGTGCAGATCGTCACCTGTACGACAACCCGGGGCAAAAGCATGGTGGTCTGTGGTATACATACCTGATTAGCCTCTTGCTAAAGACCGCCTTTGAGATCACTTTTCTCTACTTGCTCCACTACATCTACGATAGTTTCAAGCTGCCCAGAAAAGTCCAATGTGATGTCAGTCCCTGTCCTAATTTGGTGGACTGCTACATATCCCGGCCCACTGAGAAGACCATTTTCACCTACTTCATGGTGGGGGCGTCTGTCTTGTGTGTGATCCTCAACATCTGTGAGATCTTCTATCTGATCACTATCCGGTTGGTGACCCTGAAAAAAAGGGGCTTGGTCCATACCTCGTCTATTATGAAGGTCCGCCGTAACCTGGACTGAAATGGCTGCAAGTCATCTTTTATATTGTAGCTGGAAACACAGTAAAGGGAATCACCATTTGTATTCAACTAATAAGGTGATCCTTTTTCCTCATTGTGGGTATTCATAATTGTATGTATACTTTTATATGTATTATAAATATATTGTATTTTGACATGAACAATCCAAAGCTCTAACGTTTTTAGCTGAGTGTAATAAATATTGCAGCCTAAAAATAGTGTTTTTGTCATACATCATTTCAATGAAAGGAAATACTTGAGGATTGCCTAATATGTATGACCTCTGTGTCATAACCAAAACTGACAATGTTTGTTTCCCGTATTCTCAAAAACAAGAATGTCAAAGATCTGAAAATAAAGTTTTTGCAACAAAATAAAACCACAGCAAATCCATTCATGGGTAATATTTACTTCTCCTCTAATGATGCCATTTCTCCACCTGGTGGCACTAAAGGCATACTACACTATCAAGTGTAGAATCAAAACAACATTGGCTCCCAAAAATGCATGCATATTGTGTCCTGCTTAGGCAATAAAATGTTCCTTAACTTGATTGATTGATTGATTGATTTATTTATTGATTTCTGATACTTACCTAGTTATCAGATGTTAAAAAAGAAAAGGTGTCTGGGATGTTTTTCCCAGGCATCGATCCAGGTGTTAACACCGGACTTAATACAATGGGTTAATGTTAGGCCTACTACATTTAGCAAAAATAACTTTGTAATGTTAAAAATAACATTATGAATACATTGAGTTGACTGGAGTGTAGCATTCTCGGTTAATATATAAAGCATGTCAATCGTTTTTCTACTCAAACACAGGTGCGAACATGTGTCGACATTGAATAGAGTGACAAGGGGTAATCAGCAGCTTTGTTTTCAAAATAAAAGCATACAAATGTTTTTTTTTAAGAAGGACTTTTCGAGAACTATGCAAGTGGTATTTGGTTGATGAGAACGTGTTTTAAATATTTACTGAAGATGAATAGTCAAGTCTTGAATTCAATTATTTTTTAAAACAATTATTGCCATTTTCCAAACTACTGTAATATCTTGAGGACATTTAGTTACCGGGCCTATTATATACAACGTTTCAAAATGCCTCTCTGATTGATTGACAAGTACAGTATGCATAATGGGTTTATCAAGATTACACGTCTAGTGATACATAAGTCTTATCTTATTTTGAAAAGCCTCAGAAGTGTCACTGTCTGACCTGCGGGTTCAGAGAGGAGCTACTGTTTGGAGAGGACACGCTGATAAGATCCACGCACGATCCTCCACCGACACTTTAACTGAATGGTGACCCAACAGAGATGGCTGGTACAGGTGAATATTAATAAACACACTATGGTTTTGAAGCCGATTTACATGTATGTCAATTACAGTCATGTGATTGTTTTAAACTTTGGGAATGTTTGTTTGGGTGTGGTGGAGTGGTTCCAATCTGGAGAGGATGAGTATCTCGTGACGAAAGCTTAAAAGGCATTATTAATCCTATATTTGTGTATATTTGGACTCATGAAAAGCTGACATTTCTTTCCAGCAGTTTGCAAACATAACATAAAAAGGCCTGTATCAAAGTCCTGGTACCATATGTTACGTTATTTTTAAATTAAATGTTATTTTGGACACTGTTGAATGCTGAGTAGGTTAGTAGTGCTTTTCTTTTTTGAACCCATATGCTCTGGTCCACATGGTGACAGTATCTGAGACCTTAACGTGTACATGCTAACTGTCTCCTCTCCTCTGCATGGGTTTGTCTCAGTAAAAGTGTGAATGTGTGAGTAATGATTGATCAAATAATCAGTAGTGAAACTGTCTTGTCAAATGTGAAGATGGGAGCAGCTAACAGGTTAAAATTGAGATATCTCACATGTTGCAAACACACAAATAAACAAGTCAACTAACCTTATTTATGTTAAGCCAAGACACACCTTTGTCTTTAGATTGTTACCTGTTGGATGTCAGTTGCTATGCTGGGTGTCTGTGTATTATGAAATGTAGGTTTTAAGATTCATTTGAATTGTTAATGCGGGGGAAAACAGTGTGACCCACCCGAGTTGCTTTTCCCGTTAAATGCTATATAACTTTACATCTCTTGATCTGTTTAATTCATAGATAGCATGCAGCAGACGTTGCTTTATATCCATCATCTTCCCTCCAGCGTTTGACTTTATTACATCAATATATTTAGTTTCAGTTCATTTTGTTCTTTACTGTCTTCTTTGGGACAGTTTCAGTATGTGCTCAGCAGCTAATCATTAATACAAGTGGCATCTCTGCTGTGGTTTTGACCTGGCTCCTGGCTCTCAGATCAATACAATGGATGACGTAACATCACGTGAAAATGAACTCTCTGGATTTCTAAATATTGCGGCATTACTGTAACTCCTCTTCCTCAGGAATGTGTTGTGCCAGCCTGGAGGAGCCTCAGACCCTGATGAAGATGGGTCTGAGCATGGTCCTCATCGGTCACATTAACTTCCTGTTGGGAGCGCTGGTGCACGGCGTGGTTCTCCGACACATCAACTTCCACAAGCAGACGCGCGCCATGGAGTACGCCATCTCCAACGTGGTGGCCCTCACGTCCGGACTCGTGGTGAGTGCATGAGATTCTTCTGATCCTTCAAATAGTTTCAAGTTTCAAGGCTTGTATTGTCATGTGTACATAGCTACAGTGTAGTTATGACAATGAACATCTTAGGCCACAGGCTCCTCCAGCAGTGCAACACAATAAAACAGATAATAGTGCAAGCAAATCAAATCAAATAGAAATAGTGCAGAATAGTATATATACAAGTAATTGGAATATTGATATATATAAGTTGCAAACAGATGAATGTTATGTATGTTCTTTCAATAGTTCAGGTGTTTAGCAGTCTTATGGCCTGTGGGATGAAACTGAAATAGCAAGAAGGGCGGTTATCTTCTGCAATATTATGAAGGATCAACCCAGTCTCACAGCATTTCGTGTTATAGTCACAAAATTAATCTATTACACCAACACGATTTCCCCCTTTTTTTCGTGTCACACAGAACGATTTTAGAAGCAATGTATTTCTATTGGTAGTGTGTTTCGTGCCTGCACCAAATAATAACTAATTAGAAGGAAAAAAAGATTAGAAAAATACAGATGTCAGTATTCTGAGGCTCTGAGCCATTTCTTTTCCTCATGGACGGCAAGAAAAGTCCTACATTATACAATTTAAAATAAAAACAATAATCGTGGCTTGATATTGAGAAAGAAAATGTTTTTATGAACCACACAGCTTCCGGTCTTCCAAGACCCGACCAGACAAAAAGACGTGTTGCAGGCACGAAACATACTACCAATAGAAATACATTGCTTTTCAAATCGTTCTGTGTGACACGAATCAATAGATTAAATTAATTTCGTGACTATAACTGAAATGCCGTGAGCCTGGGTTGGAAGGATAACTGAAATACAAAACGTATTCTACTTTCATTTAGGACATCAAAGGAAAGCATTTTCATATCAGTGCTGTTTTATCAGATTTATAATGTCACGTTTTAGTATTTTGAGCAGGGATATGATTGAAACTTGCAGACCACAAGCTACAAATGTTCATAGAATTGATCACTAAGTACTGTAGAAATGTTCTTAATACCAAAATCAATATAGCAGGCTTTACTCCACTGGCTGCTTGTAAAACCAGATTCCTGTACAATACTATAAATACCTTTTTAAAATAGCAAATATTTCCTTATGAATCCCTTAGTGTGACTTTAATGTTGGACCATCCTTAAGAAATAGTGGTCTCAAACCAATTCCTCCAGAGCAAAAAACATACTATTAATGTTATGTCACTTTTAAAAAAGGAAGAAAATGAGATATGTTAGACATGAGTTAAAGGGTGTTTTTCTTTCTTCAAGCTTTCAAAAACTAATTTCAAAGCAGTCAAAGGACCTCAAAGACATTTCTGAAATACTTGTAGTGACGACACAGCTCAGATACTTCATCTTTTGACCTTCCTTTGGTTGCTAACTTGTGTGTCTCAGACTGGATGAGAATACAATCATATGTGTTGTAAATGGTTGCAAACAGAGTGATATGATTATTCTTTTAAAACCTATCTGTCTCTGCAGGGAATCGTCGTCGGCATTCTGGCTATTTTCCTGTCTAAAAACAAGAAGAGCAAAGGCCTGGTTAGTACTATGCTTTCCTATAAACCGTGTTCTCCCTGCACTGCATGCACACTTGCTTTCTCTTTGATATTTTCACGCTTTATTCCCAGCTTTAGTGTCTGTCTCTTGAGCTCTTGCATGCAGCCACCAGGTGTGTGAGGAGCTGGAATAGTTCAGTGTTTTTTCTCTCGTGTCTCTTTCCCGTGGTGCAGCGTGGTTTCCGCTTTCCTCTGTTTACTCAGTCAGCTGTCAGACGGGACTGACGAGCAGCGAATGAGTAAGCCCGGCCAAACCTGCCTCTGCTAACCACTCCCAGCTCCTTTTGTTGGCAAGATCAACTGTAAACTGGGCAAACCTAGCAACCTGTTATCTTAACCCATCAAGGCATTACATATGCATAAATAACAAGTCATCTCAACACTCCCTTTATTGATGTCTACACCTGTATCACATGCCCTGGCTACTACACGTTGTAATCTGTCTCCTGTATTATTTCTAATCCAGTTTCGACGACTCACAAAGTGATTTTTAAATGTCTGTAGCTATGTCTCACCCTCTGTACACCTATTAAGGGAAAGGCTGCTTTTCTTCCCACATTTGTAATTGCTCATAGCTGATAGCTTTAATTTCAAATGCTGCAACACCTTACTTGGAGTTTTGATACGCCAACAAGTCCCTTCAAAAGACTAAAACTAACAATGTGTCATCCAACCTTTTCAGGTTCATATTTCTATTCTGTGCCTCTACTGGGACATTGGTTAGACGCTGGCCGGCTCTGTTGGGATTGGTCAATCAGAATCAGAATACTTTTATTCATCACAAAGAGGGGGAATTTGCATTTCTTACAGTAAGAAAAGAGCCAAAGACAGCTTAATATTAGTTCAAGGTTCTTTATTTGTCAAACGAACATAGCTACAGTGTAGTTATGTCGATGAAAATCTTGTGTCACAGGCTTACCCAAGAAACCGCTCAAAGATGTCCCGCTTCTTAGCCTTTCACGTACAAATATGTTGTAGGGCTAGCAAATCGGAGCACAAGTGTTACATAGTGATGTCACTTTAGGATTTAAGACTTTGCAGACCATTTACATGCACAGAAACATTTATAACACACTACAGGAAAGAGAAAACTAAAAAAATAGATTCCCATGGTAAGCTCACAGTATGCTGACATGAACACGCAAGCATGAGCACATCACCCCAATTCTGGCTTCCCTCCACTGGCTTCCCTCCACTGGCTTCCCTCCACTGGCTTCCCTCCACTGGCTTCCCTCCACTGGCTTCCCTCCACTGACTTCCCTCCACTGACTTCCCTCCACTGACTTCCCTCCACTGACTTCCCTCCACTGGCTTCCCTCCACTGGCTTCCCTCCACTGGCTTCCCTCCACTGACTTCCCTCCACTGGCTTCCCTCCACTGGCTTCCCTCCACTGGCTTCCCTCCACTGGCTTCCCTCCACTGACTTCCCTCCACTGGCTTCCCTCCACTGGCTTCCCTCCACTGACTTCCCTCCACTGACTTCCCTCCACTGACTTCCCTCCACTGACTTCCCTCCACTGGCTTCCCTCCACTGGCTTCCCTCCACTGACTTCCCTCCACTGGCTTCCCTCCACTGGCTTCCGGCTTCCCTCCACTGGCTTCCCTCCACTGGCTTCCCTCCACTGGCTTCCCTCCACTGGCTTCCCTCCACTGGCTTCCCTCCACTGACTTCCCTCCACTGGCTTCCCTCCACTGGCTTCCCTCCACTGACTTCCCTCCACTGGCTTCCTGTCCATTTTAGAGTTCATTTTAAGATGTTATGGTTTGTTTTTGAATCACTCAATGGGCTGGCCCCTCAGTTCATCTCCGACCTCCTACAGGTGTACACCCCCTCAAGGGCTTTGAGGTCGGCTGATCAGCTGCTGCTGGTAGTCCCTACAACCAAGAAAAAGACCAGGGGAGACCGAGCCTTCTCAGCGGTAGCCCCCAGGCTCTGGAACGACCTGCCCCCCCCCCATGTCAAATTGTCGCCCACCCTCCAAACTTTTAAGTCCCGCCTGAAGACCCACCTCTTTTCCCTCGCTTTCGAGTCAGTCTGAGCTGTTTTATCGATTTTTATGCTTTTATCTTTTCTTATGTGTGCCTTTTATCTATTATTGTAATATTATATTTGATTATAATGTTATGTTTGCTGTGAAGCACTTTGGTAAACCCTCTGTTTTTAATATGTGCTATAGAAATAAAGTGGATTGGATTGGACATGACATTGTTTAAATGTTTCACATAAATGGTCACAAAGCGTACTTTCTTTCCCTTTTGCATTCATCCTTGCATTAAGCTTCAAAGCCATAGGTCATGTTGTTAATGCTGCTTTAGATTACATGTGCTCCATCTGTATTCCTATTGTTTTAATCTTTGCTGTCCTTTTATCGTTGTTTCATCTTAATCTTCTCAGCCCTCAGGGTTTGATCGCTGATTGTTTTTCTTGCCTCCTCTCACAGACGTGGTCACTTCTCACCGTCGGAGTAGTTGCTTCTCTAACGGCGGCGGCCTCGGCCATTGGTCTGTTGGTCTCCACGGTGAGGGCCATCCTTCACGATGGGCGGAGCCTCCTGACTTACTGCCGATTCCCCGACGCTATTGGCTACTCCAGCATCACCAACGAGTGTCCTTTTGACCCCACGCGCATCTACGTGAGTGTGTGACAGATGCTGGGATCTAGATTTAAAAGACTTTATTGTTATATGCAAAATAACTAGAGCGTAGTTTTGGTAAGGACAATTTCATGCTCCTCCAACAATGCATATATACGTGATTTTCTGCTAGTATTATGAAGTTTTGGTACTTTATTTGGAACTTTATTTATTACTTTTTATGTGAAAAAGCCTGTGTTTGTACCCGTAATAATCTCATGGTTTTATTTGCTAGCTACTGGTAAGCTTGCAACTCTCAGTCAGCTTAGTGTGTGTGTGTGTGTGTGTGTGTGTGTGTGTGTGTGTGTGTGTGTGTGTGTGTGTGTGTGTGTGTGTGTGTGTGTGTGTGTGTGTGTGTGTGTGTGCGTGCGCGTGCAGACACACACACATCTGCAACACTCGGGCATTTTATCACGGCCAGTAGTCTGCACTTTGTGAGGTGACCTTTGTCTTAAACTGGTCAATGTAAGGAGGTCAATGCTAGTTCTGCTGTAAGCCAGTAGCTTTTAAGTTATAGTTCAGTGTCTGCCATTAGTAGCAGAAACACAGCATTAGACAGATTACATGTCATTTGAAAGATGCTTTTATCCAAAGCGACTTACATACATTCAGTACTGTGGACAATCCCCACAGGAGCAATTTGAGGTGAAGTGTCCCAGGGACACTACGACATGCTGACTGCAGTGGGACTCGAACTTGGTACCCTCTGATTTGAAGTCCAGCACTCTATCCACTGAGCCACAGCCGCCACAGATGCATAACACAGACAGTATTTGTTTTCCAATAGGAGACAGCTGCCGTGCAATCTGCGTGTTTACAGCATCACAAGACATTCATATTAACCACAGATACATATAATTGTATTAAAGCAGGAAATAGGGTGGTACGATTTCATATTGTGGATTTAACCTGACAATCTTTTAATTAACCAAATAGTCCTGAAGCTAATATAGCAAAGCAAATATGGTTATGATGTAAGACTCTTCGTGCTGACGGTAGCTTGTGTGCAGCAGTCCAAATACTGAGGTCACTTGCATTCAAATAAAATAGGTCAGATAAGATATAAGAGATAGGTTGGGTGTTTTGATGTGGGGTAGTAGAGAGAACCAGCACATTAGCTTAGATTGATTTTGTCCACCTTAAAGAAAGGCCAACCTTAAATAATCAGTTTTAAGTGAAGGCTCTTTTAACAATATTATATACGCTATACCTTGCTTGAGATATCGACCTGACGTGGAACTGAAACCGTCATCCACGCTCTGTTCAAAGACACTTTTTGGGTTTAAAAGGTTTGTTCAGATTTGCCAAATCCCAATCCTCACTGCAAAAAGAGAGAGACAATCAGACATGCTTTAAAACTTCAGCCGAACTAATTGGGTAGAGGAACGAGCGTCCAAATAGTCTTTTTAGTATTCCTGTAATTAGATGTTTTTGTTATCATTTTGGGAGTGCTCTCTTTTGTTGGACCTCGCATTTAATGTTTAAAAATGATTACCCAATATAATAATAAACCAGATTCATCCTTTCCCCAGAAACGTGCTATCAGTGCAGAAGTTACTTCCTTTGTTGTTGTCTTCTGAGACTGCAGTGTAGCTGTTCCCTCCCAGCTTCCCATTAGCAGGGGACCCTCCAACATGGCTCCCAGCGGCCCGGTTACATCGCCTGAAAATATGTTTGGGCTTCTGGTTCTGATACTCATGGCTGCTCAGAGGCACTAATGATGCTTCTGCAAGGTTGTTTTTCTTTAGTGCTTCCAGCATATTTTATTCTGGATACCAAAGAAAGCTCCAAACTTTCAAACTATAATCATTAATTCTCTTTGTGGTCTGCAAACCAACCCACCTCACAAACGGCCGCTGGCAATTCCCTCTGAACACTTTGAAACTTTCTGCAGACTCTCCTCTGCAAAGTCCCAGACACACTGCTCTGTTTTTGCTTCACAGCCGCCTGAGGAGAAATAGGGTTCTTCATCGCATCATTACCCTCACTGAATCCTGCTGCTTGCACCTATGGTCCAGCTGGTGTCTGCAGCTCACCCCACTCCTCTGTTTCTCTGCAGAGCACCACTCTGATCCTCTGGGTGCCTCTCATCGTGACTTGTGTGATCCAGACGGTGTTTTCGGCCCGCTGCTCTGCTGTCTGCGTCTCATTCCTGGGTTTGCCTTGCTGCCCGAGCAGGAAGAGGAAGAGGGACTTTGGCAGATCGGTGAGGTTTCTGCTCAAACACACACTGGCCGTTTCTCAATGTCGAGTACACCTGCTGCAGAGCCACTATTTCAAGTATACTACGTCATCGAGTGGCGCCGAAGGACTGTTTAAATGCATGTTAAAGGCCCAGCATTCTGCGCCACTCTATGACGTAGTATACTTGAAATAGTGGCTCTGCAGCAGGTGTACTCGACATTGAGAAACGGCCAGAGTGATGCTGTGTCTCGTGTTAAGAAAAGTTGCTTCGATGTAAGTTGAGGACAAACATGTCTGCTTGGAATTAGAATGATTTATTACTCTCATTGTGGTACATCTTCAAACATTAGTAGTACTGATCACATTTTAAGTGTTTACTCAACATAGTATAATATGATTCATGATGCTATAATGGTCATCGGGTGAACGTGATTTTGTTTTTGGTTTGTTCAACTCTACCAAGAACTCCCAATAAATAATGTAGTATATTTCAAGACAGCCAACATTAACATTACAAAGTCAAAGAACTTCCCTGGTGTGAGGTACAAGGGTTAAGAATGGTTTTCAATAGAGCAATTTGGTTTAAGAAAAAAGGATTTCTGTGTTTGTGTAGATAAATGTGGTGAGGCCAATTGAGGAAGCTGCTCCCCCTCGGTACGCTGAAGCTCTAAGGAGCTACTCTGAACCTCCGAGAAGCTACACTGAACCTCCGAGAAGCTACACTGAACCTCCGAGAAGCTACACTGAACCTCCGAGAAGCTACACTGAACCTCCGAGAAGCTATGATGAACCTCCAAGGAGTTACGCTGAATCTCTGAGAAGTTGCGCTGAATCCTCAAGGAGCTGCCCTGAACCTCAGAGACAGCAGCTCAGACCTCCTCCTCTTCCTCATCATCTTCCCAAACATCATCAGAGTCTTCCTCCCTCAGAGAGACGTCCTCTTCGCTCGCAGCACAAGAAAAGGTCCGACAGAGAGAGGCAGGAAACCAGAGCTGGCAGCGAGCAAGACCCACCGGAGCAGCACCAACTTCTGGAGAGAGGAGCCATGGAGAGGTCCAGCTTCTGGATTTAGACCATTTGAACATACTTACAGACCAAATGCATCAAACTCGGCTCCCATTGTCCGTCAGAACTTCAAGACTGAACTCAAAGCTGGAGATGTTTTATTTAGCAGTGTGGATGTTTGGCATATCTGAAGCTCAGGCTAAGTGTCCCGGTTTTGTAAATATAACTGTTCTAGTATTTCATGAGTGTCAATCTATTCATATCGGGACAGACAGAGGAGGAAAATCCTTCAAAGTGAGGACACGGTGCCTGTAGAAGGATTCACTCGGAGTTTGACAGCTACACACACCTCTCCAGCTCAGAAATTACCAACACGTTTTCCATTTGATGAATTTGTTTTTGCACAGACGATTGGTATCGATCCTCTTCTGGTATCTAACCCTCTGGAAGTAATCGTTAAAGTAAATTTGCACATATTAATGGAGGCAGGTACAGTAGAATAGGAAACTGAAGTGTACAAAGTGCCTTCATGATTTGATTTTATTAAGGATGGAAATGCCTGTTTGAGTTCATGAGAGTGTTTGCGTTTGTATTTTTCTGATGTTGGGTCAAGAGATACCACTAATGCACGTTTTTATATTTATTCTAGTCGACAAGTAAATAAAGTTTTTATTCATAATTCTGTATCTGTCGTGAACTCTGTGACAGGAGACCGTTCACTTTAATGTGCTGTAATGGCAGCAGCAGTGGCCTGACAGGAATGACTTGACACACACACACACACACACACAGAGATGTAGACACTCTGACAGGCGGGTGCTAACCCATCCACCCACTTCCTGTCAGGGTTTCTTAATAAGGACCTTCACTGGGAGATGCATGACAGTAATGTTCAGCTGTCAGACCACACATTACTCTTATCTTGAGACACAGGCTGGAGAGATGCTATGAAACAAGTGATACCGTTTATTTAGCTGATGCTGTTATCCAAAGCCATTTATAGCATACTAAATACTGTAGTCTTCCTACTGGGGAAATAAGGGGTTCAGTATAATGTTGATGTCGATGGGAATCAAATCACTGAACCTGGGAATGATATATTCCTTTTTTTTTTTAAGGGGCCCTATTACAGGGTTTTCCATTTCCTGTAGTGTGTTATATAGTTTTTAGTGCATGTAAATGGTCTTCAAAGGCTAAAATCCCTGTGTTCCCTCCAGAGGGAGTTTCTCTCCCACACACTGGGTGTTTCTCAATGTCGAGTACGCTTGCTTGGTAGCACATGTCTGCCGAGCATCTTGCTTCAGAAGCGAGGCAAGAATACTTCCTGGCATTCGGAAAACAAAGAGTGGCACTAGCAAGTGTGCAGGTGTGCGTCATATGAGAGGCCCCGCCTCTTACATTTTCCGCCACAGATTTGGGGAAATTGGTCCGTGCGCAAAGCATTGTGGGGATTTTAAGACCGCGGAGTCTACACATGTGCAGCCTCGAAATTTCTCCAAATGAAGTACGCCGGGCTCGGTAGATTTCCAAGTATGCTGGACATTGGAACAGTACTTCGGTGGCACTCGATGACGTAGTATGCTTGAAATAGTGGCTCTGAAGCAGCTTTACTCGCGATTGAGAAACACCCATTGTACGTGATAGGCTAAGGTGCGGGACATCTCTAAGCGGTTGACCAATCACAACAGAGCCGGCCAGCTAACCAATCAGAGCAGACTGGGCTCTGGTTTCAGACAGAGGGTGAAAAGAGGTGCTGCAGCACAGGCAGTATGAGAAAAATAAAGAGCTTTTTGAACATTAAAGCCTGGAGACATGTCACAGTCAAAATACAAATTTGAACCTGAAAATGAGCAGAGTAGAGCCTCTTTAATTGAGTTATACTTGCAATATTTTCATCACCTTAATATGACGTCAGTATCATTATGCTCTTCTCAAAAGAACAGGACTCAAACGGTAATTTTACCTCCAAGAAGACGGAAGCTACAATTCTAAACATATTGACCTTGTAGTTGGGCTTTTTTAGGGTGGCTCAAATACAGTTTTTTACAGCAGTACTTTGCTTAGCTTCCTTGCTAGTACTCCTGTCTGTTTCTTCAACCTGACTTTGGATACCTCATACATGTACAACCCCACTTTAACAACACTGAAATATTCCTTTAAGTCGTCCCTTACAATACCCAGAAATAAGGAAACAGTCCACACGAGCAGCTTTGAAACACATAGGTATATTTCAGGTCCAACTGAACAAACATGACATCCTCACGTGAGGTTTTCATGCAACAGAAAAATTGGAAGGAAATGAAGGGAGGTTAGGAAGAAGGGAAGAAAGAAAGAAAGGGGGTGCATTTATCCAACATAAGGTACCAGTTCATCAGAGGCAGTGAGAATAGAAAAGGGTTCATCTGTAGTTTAGATCAGGGGGTAGCAACTGTTGTTCCTTATCCTACCAGCAGAAGGCAGTGACACTATAGGATCCCCAAAAGCAGAGGTTAGGAAGCTCCTGTGCAAATGGTTCAAGTTACACTCCCATCCTAAAGTCAGGTGCATGCAGCTCTCATCTGCACGCAGTCATTCAATTTGTGAGGTAGTGAAATGTTGGGCAACACACATTTAGAAACTGACTCTTGCCAGTTCAGTCTGGTTTGAATCGTCTTACGTTTTATCTCACATGGCAGACAGAGAAATCAATATGCTGGGTTTTATATTTTTTAAAGTCAGTGAAGCCTGTCCGAAGCACTTAGATAGGAATACTCAACCACCTGAAATAACTGCATTAGTCTGGTGTCAGTGAAGCCTTTCAGTGATTTCAAAAGGATTTTCTAACAAAAGAATCAAATGATGAGAAAAGTACTGAAGCACTTCAAGTTGGAGCTAAATGTGACTTGTTTTGTAGTGTCATACATAACACTTAGTCATAGTTAGATATTCATATGTCATGTCACGGTTGTCCTGGTCAAAATAATTGCGATTTTATCCCGATTATAATTATTATATGCTCTTAAAATGGCACTAAAACTTAAAAACTAAATGTAAAGACAGAAACGATTTAATTGCATCACAGATAGGAAACAACTGCAAACACAATCACATTTAAACAAAGGAATCATAAATCATAAATCATAAGGTCCATCTGCAAAACATTGTGAGTCTTTCTTATTTAATTCATGTCATTTCATACTTCCGTACAATAATAACGATAAATTAACAATAACTGATCAAGTCTTACTTAAATCTAAAATTAAATCAATCTGAACAATTAACTCCAGTTGTAAATGAGTGTATATCAATATTTATGTTAATATTTCGCTCTAAAATGTAGTGGAATAGAAGATTAAAGTAGTAAAATGTGAAAATACTCCAGTAAAGTATGTTAGTATTGCACTTAAGTCCAGTAAACGAGTATATGTACTACATTTCATCACTTCTTAACCTCAAAAACACTTATATATTGTATACATTGATCTCTATCAGCCTATTAAAGTAAAGAACCTGCAGGTCCCTTTAACAGAATGATGCATTGTACAGCGTGTTCTCAGTCTGCCCAACATTTAGCTTCTTCACAAACAGAATATGTTGAACTTCTAAAACAATGGAGGCCTTACATCGCTCCACTCAATACATGGTGGAGCTGGTACTGCAACCAGTGGCTGTGTTTACAAAATGCACGGTACGTTTGAAGCGTATTTTAAAACTGTAATATCACAGATTGAAGTCTTTTAATTTGAATTGGAGAGACCAAATTGAGGCTGTTCTCATACGCTCTATACTTCACATATATCCTATACAATGAGTTTGTACCGTATGCAAGTTGGTCTAAAAACATCAAACTTACACCCATAGGGGACCACTCTTTTCTTAGAGTTAATATAGCCATTTCCGTAGATCATTTAACCTAACCCACGCTCTTTTCCTAAACCTCATCAAGTCGTTGTGTTTCCTAAACCTAACCAAGTTGTTTCCTGCAAGACGGAAGTTTATTCAGGTCCGAAATTATAACGTTTTGGTTGATATTCATATGCAAAAATACCCCTTTTACACCAAAGCGGTTCGGAGCTGATGCCCGATTGTAGAAATAATTGTTGTTGAAAACGGCGTTAGTGAGAAAATCAGTGACGTAGATGTTGACGTCATTACGTGGAACCAAACTAGAATCAAACAGATTTTCAGTGGAAAAGGGGTGATAGGAACCATTGTATGAGGATACGTTGCTGCAGGTGCATTTTGATGTGATGTCTCGACAAGTTCCAGTTTCTTGGTGCTCCAAATAGTAAGTAAGTAAAGCTTGTATATCAGTGCTAATGTAAACACAGCCACTGATTTCAGTCTGCTAACCACAAAGAAGTACCTGGTGAAACATGTCCCTTCATCTAATTGCTCTGTAAGCAGACTAATCCAGGAGGTTATAAAAGCATTCAGCTGGAGAGTGATGAACGAGCCCTTAGTGAGTTCTCTGTCTGTCAGAGGGAGAGGAAAAGGGGGGAGGAGGAAGGGAGGGTTTGTCCCAAAAGCAAGACAAATACTCAATCATTTCTGCCTGGTGCAGTGCTGAGCAGGCTGCAGCAGCGCTACAAAAAGATACTGCTGTGCGTTCACTTTTTTTTGTGGATTTTATCAGTTCATAGGATCATGCAGTATAGTGTGACAGGTTAACGACTATCTTAAGTTTACTGCTTGTGTTAAAGAATACTTATTAGAAACAACACAACGTGATAATACTGTAAAGCCTCATTGCATGTCCACGTGCACACATTCAGACACAGCCTTACTTCATAACCACATGGAGGCTGAGACGATATGTGCTACTGGTGATTGATCAAATGCATTATGGAGTGTTTTATATTCTTCACAGTTAACACACCCACAAAGAGATCCATCGGAGCTCTCTCTCTGTCACTGTAAACTGGAACATATCAAAGTACAATAATAATAAGAATACAAATGAATAAATAAAACGACATGACGGAGGAAAAAAAATATGTACAAACTATTTAAAAATCAACAAAATGCCAGTAGAGATATCGATAATAATAAAAAGCTAATGGGATCTTAGGCCTTCTTTTTCTCAGCGAAAGATCATATAGCAGTAAAATCCCAATAAACCCCCACCCCGACCCCCCCATTCAGATCACACCAGGAATTTACGCTACATAATACTGCTTCAATGCCATAGAGTGTGCACCATACACTTCATTTGGTGATATACATAGACGTACAGTATATACATGATGTACATGTGTGTTGGAGGAGCGTTCCCCCACTCTGCGAAAAAATCCACACAAAGCTCTCCTGGAAATCCGACAGATATTCGGGAACATTTCTGCACGCTCATTAAACATATCCATGTCCATTCAGCTTTCCCAAATATACAAAAATGATGATGTCAAATGATAGTGATGGCTTTTTCTTATCCTCCTCAAAATCCCTCCTCCATTCTTGCACACAACGGAAAAAAAAATGATATGAGAGACGAGAACCATCATGCATTGATTTGAGTGTTTCAATAGCAACAGAGGGTGAGGAGGAAAAAGGGTCTCAGCGGGGCGGGGGGGGTGTTCAGAACTGGGAGGCCGAGCTGGGGTCGCACTGGAGTAGCCGCACGATGGAGGGGTCGCTTTTGGCACCTTTGATAAACTCCTCCAGGGACAGTTTGCCTGCAGGGGGGACGGAGAAAAGGGAAATGAGGGGGAACAAGTCAATATTTTGTAAATACCTGTACTTTCTACTTCTTACATGTTGAACACAAATACCTGTACTTTCTACTTCTTACATGTTGAACACAAATACCTGTACTTTCTACTTCTTACATTTTGAACACAAATACCTGTACTTTCTACTTCTTACATGTTGAACACAAATACCTGTACTTTCTACTTCTTACATGTTGAACACAAATACCTGTACTTTCTACTTCTTACATTTTGAACACAAATACCTGTACTTTCTACTTCTTACATTTGAACACAAATACCTGTACTTTCTACTTCTTACATGTTGAACACAAATACCTGTACTTTCTACTTCTTACATGTTGAACACAAATACCTGTACTTTCTACTTCTTACATGTTGAACACAAATACCTGTACTTTCTACTTCTCACATGTTGAACACAAATACCTGTACTTTCTACTTCTTACATTTTGAACACAAATACCTGTACTTTCTACTTCTTACATGTTGAACACAAATACCTGTACTTTCTACTTCTTACATGTTGAACCCAAATACCTGTACTTTCTACTTCTTACATGTTGAACCCAAATACCTGTACTTTCTACTTCTTACATGTTGAACCCAAATACCTGTACTTTCTACTTCTCACATGTTGAACACAAATACCTGTACTTTCTACTTCTTACATGTTGAACTCAAATACCTGTACTTTCTACTTCTTACATTTTGAACACAAATACCTGTACTTTCTACTTCTTACATGTTGAACACAAATACCTGTACTTTCTACTTCTCACATGTTGAACCCAAATACCTGTACTTTCTACTTCTTACATGTTGAACCCAAATACCTGTACTTTCTACTTCTTACATGTTGAACCCTAATACCTGTACTTTCTACTTCTTACATGTTGAACCCAAATACCTGTACTTTCTACTTCTTACATGTTGAACCCAAATACCTGTACTTTCTACTTCTTACATGTTGAACCCTAATACCTGTACTTTCTACTTCTTACATGTTGAACACAAATACCTGTACTTTCTACTTCTTACATGTTGAACACAAATACCTGTACTTTCTACTTCTTACATGTTGAACACAAATACCTGTACTTTCTACTTCTTACATGTTGAACACAAATACCTGTACTTTCTACTTCTTACATGTTGAACACAAATACCTGTACTTTCTACTTCTTACATGTTGAACACAAATACCTGTACTTTCTACTTCTTACATGTTGAACACAAATACCTGTACTTTCTACTTCTTACATGTTGAACCCAAATACCTGTACTTTCTACTTCTTACATGTTGAACACAAATACCTGTACTTTCTACTTCTTACATGTTGAACACAAATACCTGTACTTTCTACTTCTTACATGTTGAACCCAAATACCTGTACTTTCTACTTCTTACATGTTGAACCCAAATACCTGTACTTTCTACTTCTCACATGTTGAACACAAATACCTGTACTTTCTACTTCTTACATGTTGAACCCAAATACCTGTACTTTCTACTTCTTACACTTTGAACCCAAATACCTGTACTTTCTACTTCTTACATGTTGAACCCAAATACCTGTACTTTCTACTTCTCACATTTCCCAAACAGGCTGGTTCCTTTAGTTTGAATGTGTGTTTGGTGGCGTGATCATTATTATTTAGAGTCATTGCGTGCCTATTGATTTGAACACGATCCGTGTATCCATCATTTCCTGGTCTTCTCTAAAGAAGAGGGACCAATGAAAACGTTGTCATGTTGCCGTTGTTCAGCATGGAAACATTCATTAGCTAACAATGACATTATTGTTCTATTAATATAAAGGGAGGTCAGGTACTCTTTAAAACAGCTGCTAGTTATGGGTACTTTTTACTGAAGTACATTTCAAAGCCCTCTTTACTTTTACTTGAGTAAAGAAGTTTAGTCAGTACTTCTACTTTCACCAGAGTATTTTTAAACACGAGTATGTGTACTTCTACTTGAGTAAAGGATGTGTGTACTTTTGCCATCTCTGGTGATAGGCTAAGGGGCGGGACATCTCTAAGCGGTTGATCAATCCCAACAGAGCTGGCCAGCTAACCAATCAGAGCAGACTGGGCTCTGGTTTCAGACAGAGGGTGAAAAGAGGTGCTGCAGCACAGGCAGTATGAGAAAAATAAAGGGCTTTTTTTGAACATTAAAGCATGGAGACATGTCCCAGAATACAGACATGAACCTGAACATTTCCAAAATAGGGCCCCTTTAATCAGATGGTAGAGCTTTGGGAAGAATAATTGGTAAAGATTTAGTTAAGCAGGCTACTTTTATTTCCACGTATTAAATACTCAATATTGTGTGGGTGTGATGGCTGTGAATGCACCTTTTTTAAAGTGTTCAGCTAACTCAATGTAACAAGAAAAAGAGCATTATTTTACTAAAATAAATCTTCTACTGGGATGTGTGGTAGAAGGATAAAGTGATTTTCTGTTTGCATGGATGAAAGCTGCTCACAAGGGAAGCCTATTTATTAAATCAGACACCTTCTTGGAAAAGCTTGGGAGATGAAAAACTTGAATCGTCTCTCAAATTCGACATAACATTTTTATTTGAGAGTATATAAAAGAATAAATCATGTCGTAAACTGGACGACTAGAAGGGCTAGATTCTCTCAAAAACGTCCAGTTTAATGAGCACATTTCAAAGATTATTCTCAATAGACTGTCACATTCCTCACTCCCCCCTCCATGTTTCCATTCCCTCCTCACCATCATTATTGAGGTCCATTTGTCTGAAGATCTTATCCGTCCTCTTCTCCGGCGTTGACTCGTCCTCTGGCATCTTCATCACAGACGACACCATCTTGTAGATGGCCTGATCGACGGAGCGAGAGAAAGAAAAAGAGAGATGGGGGTGGGGGAAAAGAGAGGATACGTGAATTCAAACCAGCAGGAATCCATTAAGGAGACTCAGCTTGAGAGATGTAGAACTGAATACATCCACGTAGGCTTTTCAAGATAAACACGCTTTCCAAAGTGATTCACTGACATGTGTTCCTCCTGATGCTAAGAGCTGATCCCTGGTCAGCTCATCTGCAAAAACCCACGCACTGTTTGTTAGGATATATACATCTTACAGCATACCACAGATCACACATGTCAGCTTACTGTATGGATCTGATGCACCTTTATCTGTTGATCAATACAGAGTATCAGCCGCTCTCAGACGCAGATCTACCATCAGCTTACATTCAATTCACTCCGTTGGGAAATTATTGCGTAAAAATGACTGTAGATCAGTGTCAAAGCTTACAAGAAAAAGCTCTCTATTGCATTATAGTACAAGCTGTAAAACTTGATCTCTGCCGCTATAAAATCATTTGATGTCTTCATCTGAAAAAAGACGGGCATTTATATAAAGCATTCTATAAATTGATATCTAATACAACTATAAAAACAGAGATTCAATCATTATTTAAAAAAATAAATCATATTAACCTCCTCAGCTAAATGTAACCAGTGTTATGTTTTTTGGGGGTAAATATTTATTTTCCATTTTGTCTAGTTTGTTCACATACAGTAGTTGGACCCTGACCCATCTTCTACAGCAGGGGGGTCAAACTCAAATACACAGTGGGCCAAAATAAAAAAATGGGTACGAGTGGAGGGTCGGACTGGTTCAATGTTTATTGCAGAACTTATGTAAATGAACTTATTGCACATATTAAACCTGGAACTAACAAAGCTTAAATGATTGCCTATAAAAACAACATGAAACATTAAATAATCAGTTGCATTCATTTCTTATGGCTCTATCTGCAGCTCAGAGTCATTTCTTATGATTACATTTCTCCACAGGCCAACAACAGCTTCAACAAAACTATTTCCCTCAAAGAACAAACCAAACATGCCCTGTTGTCGTGAGAGAGAAAGTGCAGAAGGAAACATGTAAACTCAGGTTGCTGCTCTGTGATGCTAGCTCAGATACTTGGCATCTCATCTTGGGTGCAAGGTCATCAATGTTTGGGGTCAGGCTCTGAGCTGAGGAGACCCTCAGGATGGAGTGAAGGTGTGCGTGCAATATACCAGCGGGCCAGATCTAATAGTAATTAGAAATGATCCTGCGGGCCGAAATTAAATCCACCAAGGGCCTGATTTGGCCCCCGGGCCTTGAGTTTGACAAATGTGTTAGACAGACAAAACGACATTGCCATTTTGGCTTATTTTACAATTATGGATTGGAGCATTCTGAGGTTTCAAGTATGAGCTTGAAATCAGGTTGCTCATCTGCCGGAGCGACAAAAAGTGCTAAATAAATAGTTGTTTTTATGGTTTTTATGGATTTTTCGGAAAGCGATCTATAGCGACACCTGGTGGAATTTTTAAAGCACAGTAAAAATGTTTGTAGTGTCCAGGTCCTAAACCGTAGCCCAATTTATGGAATTTAGAAATCCCTCCTGCAAGTCACCTGCACTCCATCCGCAGTGCTTGTCAAATGACAAAAGTATGATGAATCCCTATTAACAACTAATTTGACCGTATTTGTGAGGTTACATTTAAGGCTTTTATTTCCCCAAACCCTAACCCTTATGATTTGGATGTGAATGGTGAGGATAATGTGGTGTGAAAACAAATCTCTTTCTCTCTCTATCACTCTATAAAATGACCCAATAGGCCCCTCCCCTCTCATCCAACGGTGTGTAACCTCAATGATCTTGAGGATAATCCCATATCCTGCACACTCAGGGATAAACTCTGGTTAAAATTAACTTGCTAATCTATGAGAACCCAGCAGGACACAGACAGACAGACAGACAGACAGACAGACAGACAGACAGACAGACAGACAGACAGACAGACAGACAGACACACACACACGAGTCTCCACTTCCTCTCTTCAGGATCAACAGGATTACAGACTAATGTAGTGCCGTATTTAACAGCCTTTGTACAACTGTTGCCTGGTGCAGTCGCCACATTAATTTGAGTAGGCTATGGCTTTTAGAGTCTTTGCATATCTGTGCTTGAGCCTCTTTACACATACTTAGAGGAATGTTTTAACTTACATCATTAAACTGAGCACTTAGCATAAGCGCTCTCTCCGTCTATAGGATTGTTTTGCTGGCTAAAAGCTAAGCTACGTTTGGTCAATAGGAGATTTAAGACACTATTATAGAATGCATCATGTTAAAAATGTCCTTTTGTGGGATCTTTGCCTATATTGATCTTAAAGGAAATGCAATCCTTTACAAAGAAACTCCATTGAATCTTGGCTCCTGATGCCAGAGGAGGAACAGCTACGACAAACTAACATTTCAAAGACAAAAAGTACCCCAGAGTCCTGCTGAGTGTCGGGTGCCGAGACTAACCAGCGGAAAAGTTGTCAAACGTTGTAACAGAAAATGACTCACTTATTTACATAAATGAAATTCCTGTGTGATTTTCAAAGTGTTTCTCTATTCACTGGCTCTCACGTTCTCAAGCTTGAGAAATGTCCTTTCGTTGTCAGTCACAATCTGTGTGAACCAACAGTATGACCTTCATCTTCTGCTGAACCCAAAACACTCTGTTATCACTTATCAAAATGCCAGAACACCCCTCTGATGTGTGAGTTGTGTGACCGCGTACCACCTAGTACCAATCATGTATAATATCCTGCATTATATTTTGTTACTGGAAATTTGTATTTCCACAAGTATATTTTGTAACTTTTTAATGCTATTTCATTTCAATTTCAGAAATATTTTGGATTGTGTATTTCTAGTGTCTTAATTTCTCTTATGTACATTTCCTTGTCTTTTATGCTGCTGCAACGCAAACATTTCCCTATCTATCCATCCATCCATCCATCCATCCATCCATCCATCTATCCATCCATCTATCCATCTATCTATCCATCTATCTATCCATCCATCCATCCATCCATCCATCCATCCATCTATCCATCCATCTATCCATCTATCTATCCATCTATCCATCCATCCATCTATCCATCCATCCATCCATCCATCCATCTATCTATCTATCTATCTATCTATCCCTTCCTCACCTGTACAATCTCCAGCATCTCGTGGCGGCTGATGTATCCGTTCCCGTCCAGGTCGTACATGCTGAAGGCCCATTTCAGCTTCTGCTCCAGTTTTCCCCGCGACGTCACGCTCAGAGCGATGATGAACTCCCGGAAGTCTATCGTCCCGTCTGCGTTGGTGTCGAATGTTCGGAAGACGTGCTCAGCGAACTTTGAGGCGTCTCCGTAAGGGAAGAAGTTGGCGTAGATTTTCTTGAACTCTTCCACATTCAGGGTCCCACTGGGGCAGTCCTTCAAGAAACCCTGAGGTAAAAAGACAACATGAGGTGAGACAAGGGTGAAAATAATGATTTAACACAATATTAAACATTTGTATAGTACAAGATGAGAGCCGGCCTAAATAAAAGCCTGCTGGAACAATCAAGAACCACATTTATGTAACAAAACTGAAGTATGAATTAAAAAGGGGCTTAGTCTTGGATAGTTGGAGACAGTTACATTTCTCTTCACATTTGATAAAGCAGCATTGTTCCCAAGAAAAAGAGGGAGGTAAAAGTCACGTCAGCCTCAGACTTTTGTTCTGCCGAAATAAAGCTCTCTCTTTTTTAAAGGCCTTTGAGATAAAATCAGAAAGGTGACAAAGTCATCGTCACCATTTTATTGCTGGAATTACTTTTTGGATCATTTTATGAAATATTCTCATAAGTGAGGGGTGGAAAGCCAACATGTTTCTGTTTCTAATAAAACGTCTCCGAGACCTCAGGCGACCAGACATCCAGGGGTGTTTACTGTGCAGTTTACTGTATGCGACATCTCCATCATCCTGGAGCTGTTAATCTGCTGAGAGTGAGCACCATCAGGACAGTGTGAAGAGACCCGGGGTCAGCAAGGATTAAGTCCCAGGTCAGGAGGGTGCCAGTTTAACATGTGCAGCTCTTATTCAGTACGGCTCACAGCTGTTCTATAGGTTTAATCCATGCTTCTAGTCGTATAGCCATTAGACAAACACACTATCCATACACACATGATGAGATAACCCCTTCGTCAGGACACCTCATCATGCAGAGGCTTAACAGACTGGTGTTGCTCTCACTTATACTGAGACCAACATGGTGACCCTTAAAGGTCACCTATTATGCAAAATCCACTTTTTTATGTATTTTCTACATCAACATGTGTCCCCTCTGGGTAAAGAGACTCTGAACGTTTCAGGAAAAAACATTTGATCACTTTTTGTCCTGATCCATTTATATAAAAACCTGTCTGAAAATGAGCTGATCAGATTTTGGCCACTTTAGCCAATCACCAACCAAGGTAACCCCGAGCAAAGGGGTTAACTATCTTGGGACTAAAGGGGGAACAGAGCCAGAAGGCAAAGCTCTTCAATCTGTCCGTCATCGATGGTTATGGGCTTTGGGAAGTTAATCAAATAATGAGATTGCGGACACAAGCAACACAAATTAGTTTAATTGTAATGCTGCTCCATGTCAGCTAGATTTTGCAATAGACTACAGTTGAATACCAGGTTCACCACAACAACTTTGATGTGTGTCAATGATGTGCGAACATCTAGGTTGTCATAGCAGATTCTAGTGAAAGTCGAAACACTTCAATATTGAATAACATGTTAGTTAAAGGTAAAAATCCTGCCAAATGTACTTAAAGGGGACCTATTATGCAAAATGCACTTGTGTACGTCTTTTCTACATGAATATGTGTCCCCGGTGTTCCAGGGAACTCACCAAGTGTCAGAAAACACAACCCTCTCTATTTTCCTCCATACCCAAATCTCTAAAAAAGGGGCTGCAACGGATCTGATCAAAACTGATCCAGATTTGAACACTGTCCTGACGTCAGGACGGTGGCGCTACGGCTATTGGGCCAACTCCACCAATCAGGAGGAGACAGCCACGGCCATTGCCGTTCGAAAGCGCTGGAGACGCTGTAGTACATATGCCAGGCCTGTAGGTGGTGCTGTTCTCACAGAATCAGCCCTTGCAAAAACAGAGCTAGAAATTGTCAAATTGAGCGAAATGAGGCATGGCTAAAATGCATGATCTGTTTGGTATTTTGAAAAAAAAAAAGTATAAATATGCCTTATATAGGTATGGTCCTACACTATATTATTCAAATATAGCATGATAGGTCCACTTTAAGTAAAAGGTACTTATGCATTATGGGCCTCTCAGCGTTACATAATAACTAGCCTCGCCGCTGATAGTGTTCTCTGTGTGTGCAACATGTGTTCCTGGAGAGACTTACTGCAGCTGGAGATACCACAGAGGAAGTATAGAATAATCTACCTGGTGTTTATACCTCTGTCTATCTGGATGTGTACAGATTTTGTCAACACAGTAGCGTTAGAAAACATTGCAGATGGTTAGATGAGCTCAAACTCATGGCCTGGTTTGAAAAATGGGCATGAATTGATCAAGTGGGGCTTTGTGGCTTTCGGCTTCTCTACCATTGGCTTCCCTACGTCTCCAACCTGATTTGACATCATGTTGCTTTACAAGTGTGTAGTTTAGATCAACATGAAGGCTGAGTTTAAAGATAGGTGTGGCCCAGGCAACACAGCCACAAGTGTCTTGTCCATGAAGTGGTATAATAAGCCATTGTCCTGGCCTAATTTGACTTTGCAGCTGGTGGGATTTACTATATTTTATACTTTACACATACACAAAAGTGGAAAGTATAATATAGTGCATGAGCAGAAGTATTAAGGTGCTTTTCATTGCTGAATTTGTAACAGAAGTAGTAGCACTACATTACAAATGGCTTGGTTCTACACAGTAAGATTCTTGCACTAATGTACATTTCCCAAAGATATTGAAGTGACTGTTATTTTGTATATATTGATTGTTTTATTGATGTCTTAATGCAGGGGTGTCAAACTCAATTTCATCGCGGGCCACATCAGCATTAGGGTTGCACTAAAAGGGCTGGTTGTAACTTTAAGACTATGTAAAAATACATATGTAAATATATAATATATATAAAATAATGTATTATATTACATTATTGCCTCTGCATTGGATTATTATCGGATAGGGTAATAACTTCATGATTAACTACGTCTGAAAGCAGAAGTCTGGGGCAAATAATTGCAAGTCTCTTCAGTGCGCATGTCACAAAACAAGATGCATCGTGGGATATGTAGTTTATGGGCAACGTGCCTCTGTAAAGCGGCATGTAACCGTATAATAAACGTATTATATTCTTTGAAAGCTCTTACGGGCCACAGAAAATGAGGTTGCGGGCCGGATTTGGCCCCCGGGCCTTGAGTTTGACACCCCTGTCTTAATGTGTGCATATGTGTCTATTGATTGTGTATATATAGGTATATACATATTTTGATACATATTTTTATATATATTTGTATTTGTTGTATTCGGGATTGTGGGAAACGGTATTTCGATCTCTCTGTCACACAAACTGGAAGATTGACAAAAAACAGTTGACTTTGACTTGTAATGAAACGTGTGAGTTTCTCCGTACCTTGTACCACTCCTGCAGCTCGTGGTCGGAGAACTCGGTGTTCTCCCGGAGGTCCTGCAGCATCTCGGGCCGCAGCTTGCTGTTTTGTTTACCCATGGCAACGGGACTGGACGCTTTGTTTTCTTAACAACAACAGTGACTATAGCACGAGCCAGGCTGCTCTTCCCACCTGTCAATCAGAGAGAAAGAAACAGGTCAGCAACAATTACCCAGAGAGGAGGAGGACCTGACAAATAAAATGCTGTCTGTCAGCAAACAGCGACATGTCACTGAAAACACAGAAGATAAAGAGTACATACTATTAAAGTAGGATTTGTTTGAGCAAGATTAGAAATATGTGACAGTTGAAGGTAGAAAAAGCACCCGAAAACCAAGATTTAGTAAATGGCTAGACAGCTGAAATACACAGAATTAGGTTTTTACAAATTGACTCACAAAGCAAACACTGGAAGATGCCAGAGGCTGTTTCCTACAACATGCTGACACATTGGTAAAATGACTGTGCATGACTTGCTTTAATGAAATCAAAGTGAGCCTTGTCACGGTATTGTGTCCCATCCCTTAGACACGCCATGTTATGCAACGCTACAAGTCTTTAAATGATGAATTACATTTGCTAAACAGTAAATAATCCCAAACACACCCTGTGACGTCAAGCGTTAGCCCACTGATCAAAGTTATGGGTTTATCTGGCCAGCTGTGTGTTTGTGTGTCAAATCAGCTGTGCCGTGTGTGTGTGTGTGTGTGTGTGTGTGTGTGTGTGTGTGTGTGTGTGTGTGTGTGTGTGTGTGTGTGTGTGTGTGTGTGTGTGTGTGTGTGTGTGTGTGTGTGTGTGTGTGTGTGTGTGTGCCCAGATCTCCTAATCTTCATCTCAGCTCTGAGCTCCCTGCCTGGCAGAAAACGATTTCAGAGATGCTACTACGTCATGCCATCGTCAATATACACGTCTTACCTTCACATTCCAGCATTGTACCCTTTGAGTACAATGTAATTAAGGTTAATTGATTAAATGTGTTGTTCATACGGTGGTTAAGGGAGCAAATTGAAAATCACAAAAATGATTCCTTAATGTATAGTTTACCTAACATCAACCGTAATGTGTTACTTAGTGAAAGAGAAAAAGCAGGCTTGTATTTCAGAACTCGTCCAATTATAAAGTTTTTACACCTTAAATTCCTTTAAAAATTCACTGTTAAACATTAAGGCGTTTGTATACGGTGCAGATCTGATAAAACACCTCAATATATGAATACCAATGGTTTATCCCTGAATGACTGAATGGAAAAACAAAGATCCTTTTGAAGTATAATATAGTCACATAATGTTGTTTATTACATCATAAGGGAATTTTACCCCTTAAAAAACAATACTGTGGCGACAGATGGCAGTTACAGGATAATGACTCGTTTAACTAAATGATAAATATAACAGAAATGTTTATGTGTCAGAACTAATACACAAAAGACTGCCATTACTTTTCATTACTACTAGACTATTAGCTAACAGTATGTGGCCTGAGCTCCTTATTCGAGGTGTTTATAGCGGGATACTGTTTGTAAAATGTCTTGAGTTTTTAGTGGAAAACATTTCAGAACTTCATGGAAACAACGAAGGTGCTCTGTGTGTTTTCAGGGGGGATAATAATACGTGGTGTTTTAGGGGACATAACTGCATAAAATCCTACATTAACAATTATGTTACCCTATGGCTGCCTTGATTGGTTAGGTAGTTTGTGTTATTGTGTGACTTTAATTCAGATTTACCATTTAAAGTGGACCTATCATGCTATATTTAAATGATATATTGTAGGGCCATACCTATATAAGGTATATTTATACGTTTCTGTTTTCAAAATACCAAACGGATCATGCATTTTAGCCATACCTCATTTCGCTCAATTTGCACTTTTTTTTAGCTCTGCTCTGCAAGGGCTGATTCAGTGAGAACAGCACCACCTACTGGCCTGGCATATGTACTACAGCGTCTCCAGCGCTTTAGAACGGCAATGGCCGTGGCTGTCTCCTCCTGATTGGTGGAGTTGGCCCAATAGCCGTAGCGCCACCGTCCTGACGTCAGGACAGTGTTCAAATCTGGATCAGTTTTTATCAGATCCGTTGCAGCCCCTTTTTTAGAGATTTGGGTATGGAGGAAAATAGAGAGGGTTGTGTTTTCTGACACTTGGTGAGTTCCCTGGAACACCGGGGACACATATTCATGTAGAAAAGACGTACACAAGTGCATTTTGCATGATAGGTCCCCTTTAAGTGAGGTCAGAGATAGATATAAAAGCTTTGGTTCCTTTCCAAAAAGGCCTGTTTCATGTCAAGGTAAGGCGTAGATAGTAAAAATGTACGATGGAGTACAATTAACCTGAAATTGTGAAACTGGGGATGTTTGGAACGCCATTTACTCTTCTTTATACACCGACTATGGATGTATAAAGAACAACCTCATACAACCACATTTAAATAAAAAAAAAGTTTTTACTTTAATGTGACAGAATTGATACGCCACCAAGTACAGCTCAGTCAGTCTTTACCTCCAAACACGATCTAAGGACAAAAGCAAACACATAGCTTTTCCTCGAGGAGTTATTGAGTGGTGTTTGCAGTGCTGAAAGCTGAAACAACTATGTCTCGCTATAAAACATTAGTTTGTGTGTTTCAGTTGAGCAGGCAGAGAACGGAGCAAATGCACCGCTGTGTCCAAGATGAGTGTTTGGAAAACACACACCTGTCTTACAGGCAGTGACGCACACAGTTGTTAGTACCTGTGGAGATACATTTAGCTGCCCACACTGTCAAATAGGCAAACACAGAAAACTGAAGCGGTGTGTCTGGACGTGTGGGTCAGGAGATGAATAAGAAGAAAGGGCTTTAATGAGAGGATGAGATTTAATTGGATAGATAAAGATTCATTAATTAAAGCAGCAAGTGCCTCAAATGACACACAGACTCACAGAGCAAACTATCCCCCTAATTGGCTTGTAGCAAAAGTTAATAAGGAAATTGAATACAAAGAAAGAAAACAGAAAGTACAATGAAGTTTAAAAGTATATGAAGTGTGTCCTCATCAATGTGTGTATGGTCAAATGGGTTTATGACAACAAAGGTAATACTGTCTGGATAACTGAGCAAATAATGAAAGGTAAAAAACCAAGGTAATGCTCTTTTCTAAAGCTAAAAAGACTGCTTTGGATATTGTTACTATGCAAGGACAAGTACTCGAAGTGGTTACCTGTTATAAATACCGTGGTATCTGGTTTGATGATTGACTTACTTTTAAACTTCAGGTCATTAATCTGCTTAAACAGCTGATGGTTAGGCGAGGTTTCTTTTTCAGAAACAAGTCCTGTTTCTCTTTTGAAGCCAGGAAAAGGCCAGGTCTCCCTTGAAAAAGAGATCGTTGATCTCAATGGGATTTTTTAACCTGGTTAAATAAAGGCTACAAACAAACAATGATATGGTTAAAAACCCCGGAAACTGTCGTTGGAACTGTTTTTCCAAACTGCAATTTAATGAACTCAATAATTCAGAATCAGTTCTCAGACATCCTTAGAGAGCATAACTTTGCAGAGTTCAAACAGTTCCCAGAACGGTCTGTAAGAAAACAATTGCTCAGTTATGTGATTTATTTGTAATTATGACATTTGACCTTTCCTATTGGCCATGCAATCAATCCTGAAAGGAACCTTGAATCCCACTGAGGGAATGCAGACTGCCACCAAGGCCAATGGTGGATCCAAAAACTCCTCCGATGGTCCTATTTCCCAAGTTTAAAAGTCTTAATTTCATTAAAGTCAAAATGCAGAATCAACATGGACGCCTCAAAGGAGATGCGTTGTGTTTCACCAGCAGGTCAATAGGAGTTCTCAAGTTGCTATTCCGACTTCAAGGGGCATCATGGGAATTTCCAGGAAAAACAATTCTCGACTATCCCGACATAACATGAATAAACTAGAGAGGCCCGATGGCACAAAGAGTACCAGAGATATTGAAATTGTGTCTCAACCTAACAATCCAAATTGCCTTTTGTGGTTCCACCAAGTTTCATGAAAACCGGGCAGATACCTTTTCTGCTGATAACTTGACAGACGACTACATAACCTCTTGCTAGCAAATATTTTGAAATGACTTTGATCCCAAATTGAACAGAGCAGGGAAAAACCTTGGGAAAAAAAGCTCTTAGATTGTTACGTAACTAACCATGCCATTTTAGTGTTAATGCCTGTTGGTTATAAACACACTTAGCCTCTATTGGACCAACAACACGTCTGCTAGAGAAGGGGTTAAATCAAACGACAGTCCTCTACAGGTTTGGACAAAGCCCTGGAGAACCAAATCTCCGAAAGCGACAGAGTGTAACTCACAGGAAGGCTGTCAGTGCTTTCTACGAGCTACAACAAATGCTATTCCAACACTTTGACCTTTTCACCGTGGTGTTTTTCTTTCTTTCATTAACCCAGCTTTGACCGCTGAAAGCTCACCATGCGCCTCTCTTTCTGCCTGAGGATCACAGACGTGTAAAAATGATTATTTCCTCGCCAGAGACAGTTGTTTAAAACCGCCTGTGGCCCCCAAAATCTGAACCCTCCATCCGAACCCTCTATCGTTCATCCCTCCATCTTCAGACACTAATCACTCATCTATCTCTCCAGCCCAAGAGCCCAATGCTCGTGAAGCCTAGCGCACACGAGACCAAGGGAGACCACAGGCATAACAACAGATTTTAGCGATTATTAATACTTTAACTGTAAGATTGAACCCTGTGATTCAGGCGAGACTCAGGACCACACATTACACACTACAGGAAAGGGGGGAAAAAGCCAAATAGGGCCTCTTTAAGAAGGATCAATACTGATCATCTTTGAAGCCCAGAAAATGAAAACGATTTTAAACCAATCTGTTTCTCTGATTTAAAAAAAAACAACTAATGAAACAAATGTATTTTCTGGTTGAGTAATGCAAAAAGAAAGTCCTACTTTTTAATTCAGTAAAAATTAATACATTATTTAGTACTTTTTCATGAAACTTGCTCAATACTGCCTTTATTGGAAATGACATATAACCTTTGTGTATGACGTGAGAAACATACAAACAAATAACATGCAAACTGAGCGAGGAGATAAGTCACTTCAGGCTACAGTATATGTTTCGATAAGGACATTTA